CTGCCATCCTCTCTCTCTCTCTCTCTCATTCTCTCTCTCTCTCTCTCTCTCTCTCTCTCTCTCTCTCTCTCTTCTGGCAAAACTGATAAGGCTAGGAGAAGATGTGGCAGCTTCACTCATCTGAGTCCCTCCTTCTCCACTTCAGAGGGTATTCAGGCCTTCAGAGATGGTATGCAGATTTAACTAAAATGCAGGCACTGCTGACATTGGCATGAACACTTGACAAGGATTTCCCTTCTCTTTTGTCAATTTCACCAGCCCCTTCTAGAAAACCAAGCAATTACCACGCCTGCCCCACCCCAACTTAATTCATTTCATCAAAGGATGATCTAATGCTTGGACAAGCAATTGGTCCCAACTGCCTTCTCCTGCACATGTTAGAGTGCAGCAGCATTTAAAGGAGAAAAATCACTTATTAATATTGATAATGTGAGCAACAGGTGAAAGATTCTCCATGTATGCATGATTTTTTTGTAAACTATTGCAGCTGACACCAATGGGAGGGGAATCAAATGTGCTTTGTATGGTGACTTTGCAGGGTCTCAGTGAGCAATTTGGCTGTCCATTTTCAAAGGCAGACCTATGGATTGCAATAATCCAAACTCAAGGTTACCAGACCATGAATAAGATTGCCTAAAGTCTCTAATCTCTGCCTAAAGTCTGCAGAGTCTAAGCCTAAGGGGATGGAGAGTGCTCAGGGCCACCAAGGCCACCCATGGCTTGAGTGGCCATGATGAGAATATGATCCTTTAAGGGGACACAAGTCCTCCAAGACAGGTTGAATGCCAGTTAATGGAAAAGGCTGGCCATGCACAAAAGTGCCCCTTCTTTGTCTGAATGCATGTGTGCGTGCTTGCATGCCTCTCTGCATGTGTATGCATGCATGTGTGCAGATAAAAGAAGAGGTGCTCCTGCTCTTATGGATGAAGCCTAGACAAGGATAGGGATGGAATTTTCAGGCTGACCATGAATCCTGGCACTTCTTGTGCCACTTCTTCCACAGGCTCCTGAGCTAAGCACAAAAACAGCTCTTGCATTTAACAGGTATACACAAAATGGTGACAAGCGGGAACATGCAAAGCACATGACTCAAGAGCTCAGTTCTGTTGTGAGACTAACAGCCTTTTTCTTTCGGTGGAACCCTTTCTTTTACATGCCAGTTGGGACTGATCAAGCAGGTCTGACAGGACAGTTACATTGAATTGTTGTGTGCTGGGTCACAACGGGAAAGGCTTGATTTAAACTAAAATGAAGCTACATATGCATAAAAATTATTTATGTTTAAGAAGGTCTTATGCAATCAATCCATACATTATATTCATGTACCAACTTGAGATGATTAAGTAATTAATGCACAAACTTTCTTGTTGTTCACATGCCAAATGCACACACACAAAAATGTGTGTGTACATGTCCGTGTGCTAGAGGGAGTAGAACAGAAGGAAGCAGAGTGGCTGGACCTTGTCTGGATCCACTTCTGTGTACTGTAACAAGCTCCTTGTGTGCCATTAGAGACCTCTTCCATCCAGAATCCCAATCTTTATCAACTGGGAGGAAGAAAAATAGAATAAGGAACCAGCCTGGGTGCATAAGATGTGATCTTTAGACCGGGAATTTTAGACCTGAGGCCTTGCAGATGTTTCCAGATGACTGGCCATGCTGGCTGGAGCTGGAGCCCAACAACATCAGGAGGCAAGTTCACCACACCACACGTCTGGACAAGGTGGCCTTAAAAGCATGAAAAGTATTCTAGGCTTTTCAACAACTTTGCCTCTGCTGTGGGAAAATCAGGCACAAATGCCAGGCACATGTTGCAAGTCTGTAGTAAAAGCACAGGTGCTTTCCGAGGAAACCTTTCGCTATAACAAATTAACATGCCTTGCATGGATCTAGCAGTATACCCCAGGTCTGTTTGTTACCTTCTGCATCCCCCAACTGTCCACAGGATCCCAACCAGGGCATGGCAATTTGTGAATGTAAAGGGCACATCAACATTATTAAAAGGTTAATAGAGGCCTTCTAGAGGACAGCAGAAAAGAAAGCTTCAGATGTTGGGTAAGTGCTGGTTTTGAGACTTGGTGCTGTCTCCTTCTCTGCTCACTGACTCAGCTGCCCGATTCAGCTCTACCAGCAGGCTGAGAGGCAGAAAGAAAGCTGACGCATGGCAATACCATGAGCTTGGCGTGGCTGCTGAAATGCACAGTGAAAAGCAGGGGCATGGAAAGGCAAAGCTGGAGAGAGAGAGAAAGAGATGTCAGGGTGCCACCTTGTGACAAGGGAAAGGAACTATGTGGTGATGTTTTCCCTCTGCATCTAAATTTCTGGTTCAGCAGGAAAGCAACAGTAAGGAAAATATTGGTCTATGTGTTGAACTTTTCTTTCTTTATTCCATATGAAGAATGGAATGGAACATGCTGAGCAGCATGTTCTCTTTCTGACAAATCCATTTTATGCAAATTACTTTGTGCTCTCTCTTGCTCTCTCTCACACACATACAGATAGAGAGAAAGGGAGGGGGAGAGAGGGAGAGAGAGAGGCTGATCTAGGGTGAGTTCACTTTGATAGTCTATTACAAGACTTGTACTAAAGAACCAATGATTTATTGTAGAGTACTGGTTAATAGCATGGATTATGCACTCTCAAAGGGAAAGCCAGTATTTCATACATACGGGGATGATGCTGAGCTATTAGTCAGGGTTGCTTTAAACAATTCAGAAATGTATGTGCGTGCAACACTTTGGGCTGAGCTGAGAGAACCTTACTGACCTGGTTCATATGCAGCACGAAGTCTCCATAGATGAATTTCCTTGTGGGCTTCTTGCTGTGGTAGTGGCTGCCATTTTGAATATTTAAGCCATGGTGAAACTAAGTTGTAGTTTGTTGATACATGAAAGCACCAAGAAGGTGCATTTTAGGTATGGTTAATAAAGAATCTGCAATCCTAAAACAGGTAGCTAATCAACCAACCTAGTAACCTACACCAGAAAGATTCACATGTAACAAGTTATGGTGTGTCCCTTGTTGTTGTTATCACGAAATCATGTCCGACCCATCGTGACCCCATGGACAACATTCCTCCAGGCCTTCCTGTCCTCCACCATTCCCCAGAGTCCACTTAAGTTCACACCAACTGCTTCAGTGACTCCATCTAGCCACCTCATTCTCTGCCGTCCCCTTCTTTTTCCATCCATTGTTCCCAGCATTAGGCTCTTCCCCGGTGAGTCCTTCCTTCTGATTAGGGGGCCAAAGTATTTGAGTTTCATCTTCAGTATCTGGCCTTCTAAAGAGCAATCAGGGTTGATCTCCTCTAGGACTGACTGGTTTCATTGCCTTGAAGTCCAAGAGACTCGTAGGAATCTTCTCCAGCACCACAATTCAAAGGCCTCAATTCTTTGACGCTCAGCCTTCCTTATGGTCCAACTTTCATAGCCATACATTGCAACTGGGAAAACCATAGCCTTGACTATACACACATTTGTCAGCAGGGTGATGTCTCTGCTTTTTAGTATGCTGTCTAGAATTGCCATAGCTTTCCTCCCCAGGAGCAAGCATCTTTTAATTTCTTGACTGCAGTCCCCATCTGCGGTGATCTTGGAGCCCAGAAAAATAAAATCTGTCACTACCTCCATTTCTTCCCCATCTATTTGCCAGGAAGTGAGAGGACTGGATGCCATGATCTTAGTTTTCTTAATGTTGAGTTTCAAGTCAACTTTTGCGATCTCCTCCTTCACCTGCATCAAGAGGCTCTTTAGTTCCTCTTCACTTTCTGCCATTAGAGTGGTATCATCTGCATATCTGAGGTGTGTCCCTACCATGGCTTAAATATTCATAACAGCTGCCACCACTATAAGAAGCCCCAGTGGCAAGCTCACCCATGGCAGCTTCTCATTACTTGTAAATGCAGCCACTTCTTGTAAAGTATATTTAGTTGAAATTTCATTTACATTTTCAGGGAAGCAAGCCCCCACTACACATGGATGACTTATGTCTAACAACCATATATTCATTGGGATGCACACCTGTGCCACTTTTCTGTATATTTGAAAAGGCACCGTACTCAATCCATGGGAAGAACTTAGGAGAGAAAGGATCCATGCAAGGGCAATGTTCTGGGACAGGATGCTAAACTTGGATGAGCATCTGTGTGCACCCAGTTGGATGAGGATTCCTTAGCCCTGATGACTGTTGTTGGCACCTTCCACTTCAAAACCTCCATCAACTATCAGAAGCCCCTGAAAGTCTGTGCATGTGCTCAGTGCCAGAATGCCTAAGATGCCTGTTGCCAGACATTATGGCACCCATCTGCACCTTCTCTCTACAAACCTCTTCCCCCACACCTGCCCCACTTACCTTCTCTTGGTCCACCTGGACCTGCTGTTCTCCCACCCAAATAGCAGTCACAGTCCATGGTATTTCCCATTCTTGGTCCCTCCACCTATTTGTCCTCTCTGAAATTTAAGACATTATTGTATGCTGGGCTGTAACCAAGCCTATGGACCTGTAATTGAAATAACCACATAGTCTTCCTGTCCCTACCTATGCCTCCATTTCTTCTTTCCCTGACTGGTTGCCCATGTCTATTTTAGAGGGTAAGCCCTTTGGGGTAAGGAGCCAGTATAGTTCAGTGGTTACAGTATTGGACAGGGAACCCTGGAGATCTGCATTCTGGTTCCCGCTTGGCCATGATGGTTCTTTGGGTCAGTCACTGACAGCCTAGCCGACCTCTCAGGGTTCTGGTGGGAATAAAATGGGGAGAAGGAAGATCATAGAATATTATAAGGCTAGAATCATGCAGTTGGAAGGGGCCTAGCAGGCAATCAGGTCCAACCAATCTTTAGACTTTTTTTGCCTAAACTTTCATAGGATTGTGCCTTCAGCACAGTCCTATGTATGTACTGGTCAGGTGTTTAGGGGGCTCCTTTTTATTCCAGGTTATAAAATTATCCGGGGGGGGGAGGGGAGGGGAAGGGAGAAGAGAGGAGAGGAGAAGAGAAGAGAAGTTGCTGCATGATTTGCTTTATTTACATACACTATACTCTTAACTTTGGTGACACAGTAATCTCCACACAGCAGTGTGTTTGCTCCATGTGCAATAGTGCTTCACACACAGCTACAGTTATTCTACCAAGTGAGGCCTTTGGAAGGTGGCTTGTTCTGAATAGTCTGGAAGAGTTGGTGCTTTCCTTTGGATGGCGCAGGCTGGCACGTTGAATCAAGAGCTGGCCAAAGCAAAGATATCCCCAGGTGAGGCATGAATGAACTCTCACTTCCATCGACCACCAACCACAGGTTTTCCACGAGCAGCCTTCGAACTGTTTGGGAAACAGAGAAGGAGAGGACACTTCTTCGGGTGATGCTGAGATCAAAAGCAAACGGAGATGGGAAAGAGCATGCGAGGGTCCACTTTGCTCTGGGCAAAGGCTGTATGGGTGCTTTAGAGTAGGAATTCTTTTACGACTCATACACATGCAATGGCACCCACACTAAGCCTGGTCACAGCCCGACCTGATTCCTTGGCCTGCATAGCCATGCCCAGGATGGGCAGTCCTCACAAGAAAGATCAATACGAGCGTGTAAGCTGAAAGTCATGGAATATTGCCATGGTTTTTTCCTACACATTAAATAACGAGATGGGTACCTAGGAAATAGAAAACATGTAAATGTGATTCTTTCTCACCAGAGAGCACCATGGGCGGTAGTTTTTGGAAGGGTCCATGAGAGTTAAACTAGTATAAAGCAAATGTAGGTATATCTTGCAGGTCTGCCTCATCCCTCAGTGGCTACACAGTAGAGGAATGCCCAGAATACGTTGAGACACACAACCTTTCTTCAGTATTAAAACTTAGATCAGTATTAAAACATCCAGTGAATGATCTTTTCTCAGCCATTGTATGTTTCCATTGAAAAGGAAAACCTAGCAAGGCAACCTGAGGTTAGCTGGATGAACCTGGTACATTAATCGAGCACCTCAGCCCCCTAATCCCACATCTTCCCTATAGCCTCTGGGTTTGCCTTGCTGTTGTTTTATGTAATAGAGTTATAGCCCATCCTTCAATAGCAATTATCAGGGCAACTCAATACGAACAAGAAATCATTCTGGAATAGGTAATAACCAGAGATAAAACCTTGCCCATGTCCTCTGGCAGGTGTGATGCTCAAGCAAACAAGTGGTATGCCTTTGTCAAGGAGGACTACCTGGGAAAGCCCAACCAGTGGAATTGGGATCCCAAGCTAGGCTGGAGTTAGCCACAGATCTGAGGTTCTGCACCCCTGGATTAGGGGGTGCTTCTGTCCGTGCAATTTTAGACTGTGAGCATTTTACTAGTCCGGGACTATCATTTATATGAGGAAGTCCTCAAGGGGGCTGGCTTGTTAAATAAACAAAGTAAGGTGTTGCCTTGGAAGGTGGCACAAATGAGGCAGAACACAGGGCAGAGAAGCTGATACATCACTCAGGTTTGTATTAGCTGAGACTCTATGTCCACTGAACTCATGGTTTAGCCAGCCGGGCCATTTCTAAATATCTGCCTAATTCCCAGCCCCCTGTAACTGGCCAGTGCATCTCTTTGGCTCACTGCACCAAAAAGAAAGCAGCTGCTCCTAAATTTGGGCTCCTCACATCATCAGATTAAGAATGTTAGTTATTTACTTTTCTCAGAAGGCATGTAGAGAATACCTCAGCCATTGGTATTCACTTCTGATTTCTGTCCTCATTTATTGAGCTTACCAATCTCTCTTTTCCTCCACCTTCTGTATGGCTGGATTCCCCAGTGACCATCTGGCATTCAGGTTCTCTGCTACTTAAAATCATGATACCCTAACATGCAGCGTAAGAGATAAGGTGCACAACAGCAGTCTTGGGTTCGTTACCCCATAGACATGCAACTCTCTGATGAGCATACTGTATTAAACACTGGGTTGTCACATTATACCTAACATATAGTTAATCCTATGTGCACTCTTTAAAAAGGAATGTGTTAAGAGGCTGATAATCCGAGATATAGATGTCAGGCTCTTATATGATTGCTTTTTGGTATATCCTTCAGCTCTCAGGTAATAAAGGGTGTGCCTTGTCCCTACTCAGCCATAGAAATGACATAGACTGAAGCATCCCTAAAAGAGAAACTCAAGACATAGTTTGGGGTGCCATGTAAAACCGTTTTCCCTAATTATTTGCATTGCAAGCCATCACAGCACACCACCACATCCCAGTGGGCACAACATGTTACTCACCCTTTCCTGAAATAGGCAAGGAAGGAACAAAGAAGAAATAACATATAAGTAGCACATACATCTTGTAGCTAACCAACAGATTTGGTCTAATGCACCTAAAAGGTGTCTCAGGAAGGAGGTCAATTGGCAAGATGGCTATTTCTCTTGTTCACATCACTGGGCCAAAGTGTGGGCCATACAGTGATTGGAATTGTTGTTCAAAGTTTGGATGATGATCCATGCCCCCCTCTGGCTCAATCTACATATGTGACATAATTTCTTTAGTTAATCTGGACCTCGGTTCTGAACTGGAGGTCATTGCCAAGAGCAAGCATGATGGAAAAGCCACTTGAGTTATCTGATAATTTATGCAGAAAAGGCAATTTGACAGAAGAGGTACTGCCACATAGAGAAAAAGGCTGGCTATTCAGTGTCTCAGTGGTTAGATTACAAAGTTTGTAGTGGATAAATAGTATTCATCCAGAGGCACCGGTGCTGATATTTCAGGAAATTCCATTGTGCCGAGCCTTTTCTGATATGTTTTAGAAGGAGACACATTTTTAGAAGAGGAAGTGCAACAAAGTGAAATGAAGACAAAAGTCTGAAAAGAGGTGATAGAGTTCCAAAATTAGAGGAAAATTAGCTAAGCAGAATGCAAATGGTATACGGGGGAAGAAAGGAACTGAAAATAAACTTGAGGATGTGTGGCTGGTTAAAGTAGCAAATGGAGAAAAGCAGAAGTGTACTGTAGAAGACGGATCAAGAGAGAAAAGGCTAAAAAGTGGTGAGAATAAAAGGCACTGGGTTGGATCTAAACTTAAGATTGGTGGAAGGGGTGAGGAGGTGATCCTTCTTCCTCACTGCAGCCCCTTCTGCCCCCAAAAGAGTTCTTTGGAGGGTTTGGGGGTCTCTCCAGAGCCACATGAGAAGCAGTGTGAGGGACCACAGTAGGAAATCAGTGAAATTGTCTGTCCCCTCCTACTCATCTTCCTTCAGCAGAAACTCTCAGCTAAATTTATTCCACAAATGGAAGGAGTCCTCCTGTTCATGTAACAGGCAGTCTGGATCCAACCCAGGGAAGAGAAAGGGGAAAATAAAGGAAGTAAAAATTAAAGTCAGAAGACAACAAAAAAGCAAATACCGAGTGAAATTAGGAATGGAAGAAGAAAATAAGAAAATGATAGACGTTTAATCATAATGATGACAATGATAAAACGGCTGTGATCTAACAGTATCATTTCCATGGATAGCCAGAAATGCTTGATCCATCATTCTTGAACATCAAAGCACAGAACATGGTCATCATTGACTAGCCATGGATTGCTAGAGCAGAAAGCAAGGACAAGATGTGAAGGGCAAAGGGCTACCAGGCACTAATAAAGCAGGAGAAAAAGATTTGAGGCAAGAGAGCAGCACACAGAAAGAGTCCGGAAGCTTCACCACTGACAGGCATTTCACAGAAGGGAAGGCAAAAGGAGAAGTGCATCTAATAGGAACGGTGATTGTGGAAGATCTACTGAGAGTGCTCGGTGCCATGACACAAGAGGGAAGTTCTACATGGCCTGAGTACTTACACCTTTTGATGGTCGCTAATGCGGTTCCGTAGAACATTGATCTGCAAAAGAAACAGATATGAGAGGAAGCTTCCTGGTGATGCTTCACTGTGTAGAAAAGAAGAGTACCACTGTGGGACAGAATGAACTGCAAGGAAGAAGATGAGGCATGGAGTACATGAACCATGCAAAGTACCATCATCAGGAGGGCTACAGAGCGGGACTACAGATGTCAAGTTAATGTCTTGTGGATCGTTGGAATTTCCACTTGCAGAAATGGGAACCAGAAAGAACTGTTCCTATTTACTTACCTCAATCCCTATCCTTTTTCTTTTTATTATAATGCTTGAGTAGCTCTTTTCTGCCATGAACTACTCTTTCCATATGAAGGAAATGTAGATCTAGTTGACTAACAAGAAATGTGGAATGGGTGATGGGGGAACTAAGGCAAAGCCACTCTCTTTCGTTCCTAAAAATCTTTAGGTATATTCATGAGTGCCTCTCCAATGTGGTCCAATAGTGACCATGGCCAGAAATAAAATCATCTGTTCATACATGCCCTGCTCATGAAGTTCCCACAAATGTAGAAAGGTATGAAGTCAGAGCACAAATCCATGTAGATACCTAGAAATGCTTTTTTGTTTGTTTAAGGTTCCAACTCATTCTTCTCTGGTATAAGCACAGAAGAAAGGTTCCAAAGGAGCTGCTGAAATACTTACCCCTGTCCAAGGTTTATCAGATAAGGAAAGTCATTGGCTGTACTGCGTGAACTGATTCTAGAAACCATTTCAAACCAAGCAGGACAAGCATGCAAGACAACAACAAAAAAAGTCTCAAGGTAATACTGGGCCATAAAAGGGCAATATGCAGAGCAAGGCTTTGCACACTGTATATAACTCATCACTGTACTTTATTTTTGGCAGGGCATGGGCCATACTTACTACTTGCTTAACTCATCACAGCGTGCAGTGAGTATGGAAATCTGGTTAGGATTAGAAAAAGTAGAATATTACTAGTAACAAAGGGAATGTGATCAGAAAGAAGGTGGTGATATTGAGAAACCAAGCTTCAATATGCAGAAGTGCTAAATGCCCTTAATGAGAACTGTAGGTGACAAGCACTCATCCTATAAACTACGAGTAAACTTTTTTTAAAAGAATGCCAGCTCTTACATAACCAAAATGGCACCATTCATGTGCAAGAGGAAAGTATTAATAGGCTTGGGGGAAACTCAAGACTTGCCCAAGTCTCCTTCTCAAAATTAGAAAATGAACATTTTAAGATCCCCCAAATTAGTCCATACAGTGTGGTCATGGAATGCTTAGTGTCTGTTGGGGTGGAGAAAATAGAAAATTAAGAGGGGCATTTCCTGGAAACAGTCATGGCTAGCTGTAATCCCAAATGTGCACTACGGGCATAGTTTTGATAAGCAGCAAAAGCAGCTCAGAAAAAGTCCTAATGTATGGAATTAGGACTTTATCTAATGCAGAAAGGGACTGGGAGGTATGATGCAGTGAGCCAACTAGATGTCTGTGCCTATCCCACAAGAGGCAGCAAATAGGGGACACCCTAAGAGTCAAGAGAACGTGAGTTTTCTCCTGACTTCAGTGTGGCTCTTGGGAGAGGCACCCTGGCATTACCTGTAAAGGCCTTTGCAGAGCTGGCTGGTGGACAAGGGGACTGTTCTAGTCCAAATCTTTGGCTGCAAGGTTTAAAACATTCTTCCCTATTCCAGAACCCTCCAGATATGCTTGTGTTGCATAATCAAAATGTACATGACTTAATTATAATAATTAATAATTATATATTTAATGGTATATTACTAATATGCTAATTGATAATAATTATTCGCAGCCAATACACTCAATGGCTGCTCTGAAAAGAAACCAGAATGAGGACATCTGTTCCCACTTGCAAAACCTCCACTTGTCTTTGAGAGTTGAGTGCTTAATTAAGAAGGCACTTGAACCTCTCAGAGGAGGATTAAGTTGTACTAATGATATCTAGAGGGTTATATTTCAGCTATTTGCCTGCCATTTTACTTCCTAATTCAAGAACAAAACCTGAGGGGCATTATTTGCCAATTTTGCTGAGCGGGTAGAAAACCTGAGGATGGAAGTCAGCTTGCCCTCAATGGCTGAGTTGGCAGCCATCTTGGCAGCCATCATCATCTGCACCTTCCCCTCCTGATCCACTCCCAGAATGCCTTGGCCTCGGCATTATACTGAGTCATTCTGGGGGAAAATGAAGGCCATCTTCAAATAAATGGGAAAACACAATTTCTTTTGTAATGCCCCAGAACACTGTTACTACATCTTAATATCCATTCATCTATATGTATCTATCTAAAGTTAATAATAGGAGCCTCATTGCCACTAAAAAAAGAGACTAAAATACCCACAAACACACAAAATGTTAAGTCAAATGACTGAAAATTTTCACTGTCACCTTGGCCCTAGTTTAACAGTTTTGCTCAGTTAGTGAATGAACAATTGGAATAGAGTAGTGAGACGCTATCTTTCCAGCCAGTTTAAGTGCAGATTAAATAAGCAGATACAGCACAACTTTGCTAGATGCAGCCATGGTTGACCAGTAGGAGATGACAAAGGGAATGAGACCTACAGATATGGTATCCTAAATACAGATACTTGCCTAAGAGTGAACCAGGCCAGGCCAGCTTTCACAAAGTCTGTTGCAGCTTAAGGCACATTTTGTGGGGTTCTGAACCTTTAAAAGCCTACCCTGATTTTTTTTACCCATAAAACTTCACCAGTTTAAAGAGTCATTTGAAGCCCATGGAGATAAAGTTAGCTTCAAGTGAGTCAGGTCAAATTAATCAGACTGTCTGTCTGTACAATTTCTGAGCAGGGAGGAAGATGGGAGTTAACTTGCAATAATGATAGAGAAGAAAATGATACATAAATGCAGTGAGGATTGTGTTGAATGTTCAGGCTTCAGGGCAAAAGGATTATTTCTAGAGAAGGGAAAATATTTCCTGGGAAAGCCCTGATGTTGAGAAGCTTCTTTTCCCCACCCCATCCCCCAAATTGGTTCACCATAATCTTCTCCATCTGCTGCTACTTCAGTGTAATTTCTCCTCCACCCATGCCCTTGACATGACAGGCTGTTCTTTCTGAGAAAAGTAGTGAGGGTGATCCCAACCAATCAGGGCCTGTGAAGTGAATGGACCATCCTGATGGCCCTCAGAACAAAGGACTGTAAGGGACATGCTCCCCAAAGAGGTCCGCCTGGCACCGTCGTTACTGGTTTTTCGGCGCCAGGTAAAGACCTTTTTATTTAAACATCATTTCAATTGTTAAAACATATGATCTGGCCAGGGCAACTTCTTCTTCCTTCTCTTTCTCCTCCTATATTTTTATTTTATACTGATAATTTTAATTTTATATTTGTAAATCAATGTATTTTTTGTATTTTTGTATTTAATGGTAATTTATTATGTACTATTGTATTTCAATGTATTTTATCATGTTGTAAGCCGCCCCAAGGTTTCGGCAAGGGGCGGCATAGAAATGTTATAATAATAATAACAATAACAATAACAATAATAATGCTTTGGGTATTGGTCACATGAGAGATCCCAGCCAACTGGGGATCCTATAACGATAAAGATGTCAATATGTCGCCAGTCATCAGACTTGGCTCTACTGTAATGTCACTGAGGGCAAATAAAACAGCTTTCATAAAGCATTGTATGCCCTTCCATACTTCACATTATTTTGATATGATGCCTAAAGAATTGTTGAAAGGGCAATAAGGTTTTTCGACACTGCTGAAAAATGCTTGTGAAAAGTGCCCTCTCATTCAGCTTGGCTTTAGTAGTGATATTTAATGGCACTGCATAGAAACTGAAGATGTAGAAAGCCAGATATTCCAACAGGCATTTAGACTCACCTCATATTTCTGCTTCTTGAACTTTTCCTGCAAGTCAAACTTCTCAGCTTCCAGGTCATGGATACTCTGCCATAGTTCCTTCGCTTTTTCCCTGGTGTGAAAACACGCAGCATCAGGCAAGGTTGTAGCCAGTGATGGCATGCACAGAGGAACATGGAATGTAAGCATGTTGTTCTAAGCAGCTTTCCACAGCCTGGTGCATTTTCACAACTCCCACGGGCATATTGGCTGGGGATGATGGGCACTTTAGTCCAACACATGTGGAAGCTGCTAGGTTGCAGTGTGTTCCTTATTAATATGTAGGGGCTATATGTTGTCCAGCAATGTAAGCAGATGGTGTGTGTGAGAGAAAGATAGGGAGAGAGAGAAAGAGAATGAGAATCATGTGAATTGGTGTGCACGTGTTTAAAACTTAAACCACAGTAAGGTTTTTCTCAAGCACACTACAACCACAACCAAACACAGAATATGTGTGTAATTCTATTGTTCTCAGTAACTTAAAATATACTAAGTAACAACACATGGTACACACACATATTCATGTATTACAGCATATATGTTGAACTCCATTGCAACCGCACAAAGTATTTTTCAAGACTGTGTGTGATGCTCTTCTACATTTGGAGGGTGGGAGAGGGGACATGTTGTTGAGTGTATATATGTGAATGTACACAGGGTTTTGGTTGTGGTTGCACTGTGTTTCAGCCTGTGAATATGGGCATATGTACTGCCTGTTGCTTTTATGTAGTGTTTAATGTCCTCTAAATTTATGGAAGTCCCAACAGCCAGTCACACACCCTCCAAATCACTTATGATCTTTATTTTTTATGTATTCTTAATTAAGTAAACTTATTGACTGAGTCCTGCTTTATGAATGCTAATGCTGATGACTTAGCTAGAAATAGGTTCTCTAGCAAGTTTGGAACAACCTGGATAGAAGTGAGGGAGCATCCATCCACCTTTCAGTCTACCTGAGCTTTGAATTCCACTCAGTGTGCTTGTGTGTGCTCATCGCACCCTCCAATGGTCTATTCCAGTGCATTCCTGGGATTGATGCATGATATTTGCATGAGCAGCCTTATGAAGCACCTTATGTAGGACTTATTGATATGTAACTGTTCGGCATATAAAGCCCTCTGCCAACACTAAAGGTGTGTTAGGAGCAGTTTTATATTTGCAGTAGTGTTTACATTTCCAAGTGAACATTATGGGAAACATTATGACAAGCTAACCTGGACTTACATTATAGCTATACCCATTTGGCATCTCCCTGTGTTCACTCATTACTCTAAGATATACAACCCCACATTTTATAAGAAGGATAAAGCGTTATCCTTCTGGCTTTTCTAGAGAAACTTTAAATATGGGAATCAGATTCCGTATAATGTATGTTGTTAATTATGAAGATATGGAATTGTGGTACACACAGTGCATTTCTCCTTCAATCATTATCATATCCCCATTAATAGTCCCCACTCTTATTCCAGCCATATGAATTTGGATGATGAGTTCGAACAGGATTACAATAGTTAGGATTGCCAGTCCTCTCCTGGATGCCACACTTATAGCCTTCCCCAGCCTTCCCCAACCTGCTGCCTTCCAGAGATTTTGGACTATAACTCCAAGGATCCCTGGCCATTAGCAATTCTGAGCTGAAGTCCAAAACATTTCATGTAGGCCAGGTTGGAGAAGGTTGGTACCTAGCAAGACACCAAAAGAGGAGGCAGTTGATGTACCTCCAGGCCCCTTCTGCCCCATGTTGCCTTACTGTTATCCCACAGCATATGGGGGACGTTTAGAGATCATGGGATCTGTAGCAGAATGGATCAGGATCAGGTACAGCCAATATATATATAAGTCAGGCATAGCTAAGCTTTGCTTGCATGCACAAAGCGCTGAGTACCCTACCAATAGCTCTCTGGAGTAACACTTCTTACCTCCACTTCTTGTTCATGTTGGTGCTATTTAGATGTTCAGGGGGATGTTCAATCCACTCTTAAATCTCGCTGGTGGCTTCCTGTTGCAACCCTTCTTCCCTTGAGTGTGTGTGTGTGTCTGTACGGGGTACTAGATGTGGCATAGCATCATCCGACATGGTGACATTGGTGTCAATAGGGAATTCCACCCACAGTGGAAATACTAGCTTTCCAGGAGAGGACCTCTTCATGACTGTATCAACCAACCCCCATGGTGCTATTTGCATTCTAACAACAAAACCTTGGCATGCTGAATGCAAAGACCAGCATTTAAGATCAAGTCTACTTTCATCCTAAGCAACAATTCATGCCTGACATGCAATCTGGGCAAAGCGGTTGGCAAAGGATTGTGCTTTTCTTGGATTCCTTTTTTACCACTTCTCAAGTCTGATGGAGAAAAGCGTTCCCTACTGGCATCTGAGCCTCTTTCTGCTGACTGGATTATCAGCCTCCCTGCTCACCTCAGTTTGTCTTCATTCAAGTGATCAATATTCAGAGGTTTCCGACGCTCACTGAGGATCTTTTTCTTTTTTTCCCGCTCTGTTTGTTTCTTCCCACTTTTCTTCTCGGTCTAGAAAAAGCAGTGCATGACTGGCACCAGTAGCTTATCATTTAACCATATCCTGCCTCCTCGTTTGTGGTTGGCTTGAGAGCTCATAAAGAAATCAGACTGACAAAAGGCAGGCTGTGCTAATTGTGTAACTTGTATCTGAGGCTTGTTTTAGCATTCACTCTACTAAAAGGGCACAGGGCCTCAGTCACCATCAGGACCATCATACACTGGGAGAAGGAGGGTTAATCTTCCTCCCAACCACTTGTTTCATGAGTTTTCCTCTCTTTTGTTTTTAACCCATGGGGTAATTTCAGGGGGGAATAGCAGAGCATTAACTCTCCACATCTGTAACATGCTGGTCTCAGCCCAAATCAGGGCAGTGCACACTTAAACTGGAGCAAACCATTCCAGTCTCAAATGGACATAGAGTGAAAACACAGAGACAGATATTTGATATCCCTCTGCTGAAATGTATGTATAATTGATAAAGCTGGGTTTATGCTGCTATATGGATATATGTGTGTGTGTGTGTGTATAGTGTCAGTGTTTTGATTTAGTTGTTGTTTTGTTTTAATGACATTCAAAATATAAATAAGCTAGAGTACAAACCTCCACTACATGCTACATAATTAGCATCAAATGCTGTTGGGCTCATAGTATACTGTAGCACTTTAAAGAATCAATCGGTATTTCAATGGGGCAATAATATTTCTGTACAACAGCCCATTTCATCAGGCACATGGACTGTGATTGGGGACATTGAAAGTAATACACAGAGATAAAAATGAAGGCTAAAGGTCCCCCAAAGGTTGTGCAAGTGTGATAATGTCTCAACATACACCAGCCTTTCCAAGCCACAACCAGGAGCTTCTGTCCCCAGATATATTAAGGTGACTGTGTGTCTCACTTTGAATAAGACAGTCTTCAGTTTGAAGATTTGTTCAGCTCAAGTCTGCTGCTTTTTTAAGGTTAAGAAGGGAGAGCAAGGAGACTTGGACAGTTCCATCAACAATAAACAAAGCAGCTGGTACTCAGGTTACCTGTTCACAACATTCTCCACTCAGGTGGGATATATTGTATATCTATTTAAATTAGAAATTTGAATTTATTTCTTAAAAAGTGAATTTATACATGCATATTATCATGAGTACATTTAAAGCAAATCTTGTGCCTCTTTTTGGTGACATATTTCCTCTCCTTTTTTTATGTATTAAGTGGCCTCCCAAAGCTTGCACAAGGACACTCAGCCTGAACAAATACCTTCTGTAGGTAGCCTCCAAAATGAAGCATGTTGGAGAAAGCTTTCTTTTTCCTGGCATCCTCTTCGGCCCTCTTCCTAGCTTCCTCTTCCTCTTTCCGAGCTTTCTCTTCCTGTCAAGGTCAGAAGCACAGCAGTGTTTCAGAATGGGCACCCGGAGAAAGAGGATTTGCAGGAAGGTCAAATGCAAACCTCGCAATGTTCAGGACTACATGTACTCACCTCAGAAAGCATGGCTTGCAGCTGCTATGGACTACAGTGTTTATGGAGCATCCCTCAGTGCTATTTGGCATTCAGGAAGAGTCCCCCAAATAGTGGCAATTCCGAATTGGTTCTTCCTGGTTTTGTTTTTTGTTTTCCTAGACTTAGAGGCAGGGCACAATTTGGCTGTATGCAACAATTTGGCTGTGTTTATATTATAAGCTGTGCAATTACAATCTGGTTTGTCTGGTGCACAGAAAACCTTGGTAAGTGATATTACTTATGTCTATTGCTCCCTGTTTACTGGAATAGTACCCAGATCAAGGCTTACACTGTCTAAATATAACTCTTAGGGCTGAGCTAAGCATTCTTTTACTCCAAATGGAGACGTTTATCTTTTTTCCTTTAACCTTCTCCCTACACAGAGGGTGGAATTTGGGAGCGGGGGTAGAAGAGAAGGTTTATACATCCACCCAAGTGTTGTGGTCTTAATCTGAATCTGGATCATGCATGGTTATACTATCACACAAGACTGTACCATGCATTATTAACAGAATGTTGAGCATGTTCCTCATATAAGATGCTTGGTAAAGAATTTGTCCCATACATGGATGGGAGGTTACTAGACTCATTTTCTTTCAAACACTCAAAAGTTGAAACAGACATTATGTTTGGGATATACTCACTGCCAAGCGAGCCTGGCGTTCTTTCTCTCGTTCACTACGGATCCGTTGTTGCTCAGCTCTTTCTGCCCGTCGCTGTTCCTAAAGGAAGAAAGCCCTGCACCATTTAGAGCATTGCTGATATCTTTTTATCGATTGAACATAATGAGACTTACTTCTAAATAAACAGGCACAGAATTATAATGCTAATAAGTAATTAATAACATGCTTCCTCATACACATTTTGCTTTCTGTGGTACCTTTTTTGCTACCTTTTCCCAGTGATCAGGTCAACCCTGTCCATTCATAGTTTCTGAATTTTCAGCCTCTTACTGCAAACAAACCACTTCTGGAGATCCACATGTTGGGAGAGGAGGACATGATCCACACAAGCCGCAAGGTCAAAGACAGCAGCAGGTGGAATTCTTCTGAAGCTCAGCATTTAAGTAAACCATTCCTGAGATGCACACTGAAACATATGTCCAATAACCTTTCATCCCTGCTTAAGTAAAGGACTGCAGCCTAAGCTTCAGTCCTATGTAGATGCCCATAACCCTGCAAACATGGGGGATAATGAGCATCCTATGGAGAATAGCAAGAACATGCAGGTGGAGGTCCTTTCACATTCTTCTCACTCTGCAAAGTTCTTTGACAGCCTGTTTGAACTGACTAAGTGTGACACTTCAGAGCAGAAGAAACGAGGCTGAGGATATGTCGTATCTTGGCAACAGTGGTCTTCTCCCCTCTTCATCTCCTGGAGCACCCACAAAGCCATTCTATATCATTTCGTTTATAACCCTGGGGAAGCAACAAGCATTGTTCTTTCTGCACTGGTTGCTAGGGAAGGAAGGTGATCTGAGCAAAGATATCCAGCTTCGAGATCAGAGCAATCCTCCACCTCCTTGCTAGGAGAATGAAAACTCCCATGGCCATCTAGACATTGTCTGTTGGCCATGGGGTTTGGCTGATAGATTCTAATGTTAAATACCATCTCCATAAGTTTCCCTGAACAGATTTCCATGGTGCCTATGGACCCTAATCCTGTACAACTGCTCATGACCTTGATAGTAGATCATGAAACAATCAAACTAGTAGCAGCACAACAGAGGATTAGGGGACTAAACCTGACTGCTAGTAGAAGAACTGGACCTATCCATTAAAGATGCCTAATTAATAGTGCTGAACCCTTTGACATACAATTCTGTCCTTAAGGAATATCAGTTCTTCTTCTTCCTTCTTCCTGTTCTCAAAATGAGCTTCAATCAGAGCTTGCAGCTCATTCAGATCTTTCTCCATTCGCTTGCGATGAATGTCCTACAAGGCAAAAAAAAAAAAAAAGACACCGCCAAACTCTAATACACTTCTCCCAAAAAGAAAGAAACCTACCAATGATGAAAGAACTTGGTTTGTTGAGATAGTAGTGCTTATACTCACATCAAAATCTACTCTTTCCCCATCAGGGATCTTTGGAGGCACCAAATTTGGCATAAAGAGCCTGAAATTCAATGGGGAGGGAATAAATAAAGAGGCAACCTATTGGTATTACAACACTTGTTTTTGTTAGCCTGTTTCTTTTTGTAAACCTAAGTATATATTGAAATTATCTTTCTTCTCACCGTAGCCAAAGTATGAAACAACACTTAATCAACCTGTTTTAATGGGTGCCTGACTCTATGTTTGCAAGTAAATGTGAACAAGATGTAAATGTGACCAAATCTTCTAAAGGTTTTCTTAGCCTGCTAAATTAATTGCATCTCCCCTATCAGCATACTACTAGAAAATTAACATGTTGGAGGAAGGCTATAACTGCAACCTATCTTCCTAACATCTAGTTTCCTCTGTTTTGTTTTATTGTTTTTAATATGGGGTAGTGTTCCATTATGTGATCCCAAGACATGCAGTCCAACTGGAATAATCTAGGAACAGTTCAACAGTTTTACCATAGGGTGAGTTGTTTGTCTAAGCTGGACCACATGACAGCTTTTCAAAGAAACTATAATACTAATTTCATAAATTCTTAAACATCTTAGGTGAATAAAAGTATTGTGAGTATGTGTGTTTATTCCTCTTGATTGACAGTGGTCTAATAACTGAATCTAAATGCTCTTTAAAAAGCATCTGTGGTATCTGTGAGTGGACTCTTTCTATGAAGCAGAAAAGATCCTACACTATGGAGTGATAAATGAATGAAACCCAAAGTTGTTACTGTGAAAACCAACCGCAGCTCATATCAGAAGTCACTGTACACTTTTTATTTAAACTGGTTGTCAATGTGGATGTACTTCCAAGCCAAGGGAATAATTTATGGCTTGTTTGAGGGCGCCATATGGAATGTCATCATGAGCTTTTACAGCCACACCTGTCACTGTGATCTTATTCTCCTTCGCTCCACTTATATGAGCCAATGAGCAGCTGTAACAACTTTATATCTGGGCAGGCTGGAGTAGGAATGTCATCCTTCAGATGCTTCATATCTGTTTGTGAACTTGTACACCCTGTTGCATTGTATAGTGTCTCTGCATTTGCAAGCACTAGAATAACTTTTAAAAAATATTCTACTTAATTTTCTACCAGACAAGAGATCACATATCTGCTCCTCTGATTTTTTTTAAATTTTAAAATGCACTTTCTATTAAAATTACAACATTTGAATGCTCAATAGATCTTATGCCCAGATAAGTGCACACCAGATTAGTGCCTTACAGGACAATCCTATATGTTTCTACTCAGACATTTTATTGAGCTCAGTGGACTTACTTCTAGGTGAATCTTACTTCTAGATGAATCACCTTACTTCTAGGTAAATCTAAATTGTATCTTTATATTGTTGTTATCAAAGATGGCTTCTAATATAGATAAAATGTAGATAAATACAAAGTAAACATTAAAAATAGTAGGTGCAGGGAGAAAACACAAGAAACATGAAGCATGCTACAAATCTTTCATGAATTTCCTTTGGGGAAGCTTAACAAACTCCACTTTATCTTCCAGTTAGTTCAAGCCTAGAGATGTCTGCATTGTTAGGGGACTGAGTGTGGCTATCGAGATTCAGCCTGAAGTCTGTGCTCTGTTTCTAGGTGAGTTTGGAGAAAGCACACTATCCCAGCTAGCTTACTATATAATAATGTAGAGACCAATCTGCTAAGCTTTTGTGAAAGGGCAACATACAAAGATAAGATAACGGTTGGGAAACTTAAGGTAGTCCAAGTTAGGCAGCAAGACTGTTTACAGGGACTGGTCAGTATAACCTTATTATGCCAGTGCTTTGTGATTGTCACTGGCTTTGTGATTTGCCCTGGTTTCCAATGCATTTCAGAATCCAATTCAAATGATAGCATTAACTTTCATACCTACTACCCAGCTTTTCATCTCCCAGCATACATGTACCCTAAGATCATTTTTGGCAGCCCTGCTCCAGATGCCCCCAACAAATGGAGTGATGTGGGTGGCTTCTAAAAAGAGGGACTTTTCAACTGTGGCACCTCAGTTATGGAATGCCCTCCTCAGAGAGGCTTGTCTGGCAGCTTTGTTGTAGTTTTCTTAACACCAGGTAAGGCTTTTCTATTCTCCCATGCATTTTAGTTCTTCCTTAAACCTATGGATGTATGTTGAGGTCTTTACACTGCTGGTGGTTTTTACTTTTACTTTGGCTTTATACTGTAGTTCTAATTTAAAAAAAACTATTTTGTCAGGTTGTTGTATTTTCTGGCTTTAATTGTCTTGAAGCACACACAGAACTTAGCTTAATAGAGCTGTCATAAATAAATAATAGTAATAATTTTTACATGAAGTACTTCAGAAAACCCAGATGCTTCCATGGGGTAGAAGCCATTGTTGTGGCCACCAAAGACAAGTGGTGAGTCAAGTTCTGAGTCCTTTTCCAGACAAGGCGGCTTATTCACTATGAATCCACAGCATCGACTTTCAGTGTCATCACAGAACTGAGATGTGAGCACTACACCACTTCCTTTCCAGCTTTTCTGCAATTTACTTCTAGGTTAAATGCTTACCATCTCCTCTGTTTTCTGTGACAGCTCCTACCTCAGCAACTGCATGATTTACCATAACATAAATAATGCTATGACAATATACTTACTTGGGCTTGGGTTTTGAGTCCCCTGCAAGAAACCAAATGAACATTTGAAAAGAGAAAACAAATATATTTATTTGTTCCCTCAGATAGGACTTTCCGTATTCCCACAGAATACCCTTACGGCCTATAGAATAGTTCAAGTTTCCAAGTTACAATATAACTTTTCTTACAATCTTTTGTCAACTTCTGGAGACAACCACATAATTTCTGCTTCTTTTCCATGTTTATCTCCAGGGCTGGCCCAAGATGGCCCTTGCTTCAACGCCTGATGGGACAGCTACCTCCACTGGGCCAGAGGGCAGCAGGCTAACCTATGGGATGCAGGACAGGCTGTATGGCAGAACCAACATGACTTGGTTCCAGGGCAAGTGAGATGATTGGCAGGTTCCAGAGGAATGTTTGAAGAGCTGCTGCTCCAGTCCCCCAACCAGGAGAAGCTGGTGAGTCCCATGTCAGTGGGGCTCCTCAATCATTGCAGTTTTTACTTTGAGCTGCACAGTAACTTTAGAAGAACTCTCCATGGTACTGAACCACATCTCCAAGATAGGTCTTCCACTGTGGAGAAACTGTCAATAGCTCTGCTTAGCAGTTGGCTCGCTCCGCCTAATGACAGCAACAGCCTTCTCTCTCTCTCCCTCTCTCCCACCCTCCCTCTCTCTCTCATCTTCCTGTGTCCTTTTTCATTCAAAATACTTCCCTGAATGCTTGCAGTACCAGTCCAAACAGAAGGAGATTTCCTTATGCAATGGTTCCCGTTTCCATTTACCTTCTTCCGGTTCTTTAGCTTGCTCTTCTTGTTCTATTTAAAAGAAGAGTGAAGAATTTTGATTAGCATTCTACCACACAGGCAAAGTTGCACCAAGAATCCCCACTCCCTGCTGATACATTTTATTTCCTCTAAGCGGTGCCTGTCATCATTCCTAGCATGCTTCATAGTTCATCCAGTCATTGCTGGAAAGGTTCACATTGCCAGCATTCTCCCATTTGCGGATCAGAGACAGCAGTCTCCCCTCTCCCGAAAGTTTATAACACCATAATCTACAGAACAGACTATGATGTGAGGTCAATGTTATGAATACAAAAGCACCTAGCCACCCCAAAGGAGGTGACTCTGCACACCTATGAAAACTAGTACTAGTGACAAAGAAACATCATTTCCTTATTTGCATTTTATTATACTCACTTCCCAACCCCCACCAAAAAGAAGTGCAACTCTACCCGCTTTACAGTTTGACCAGAAAACTACAATATTCTTTATTTGTTTATTGCATCCAGAGATCTGAAAATGGGAATCAATATCACAAGATTTGTATCAGCCTGAGCTGGCCCACCAGGATGTAAATACATGCCTTCTTCTATGGTTTCCTCTGCATCCTCCTTGTCTTTCTCTTCTTGTTCTTTGGAAAGAAACAGCAAAAAGACATTAACTCCTCTGAAGATTTCAAGTGTAGGTTGACATAGCTCAGTATAAGACAATGAACCCCAGCCATGAGGATGTCAAAGAAGAGAAGCATAAACCTAGAACATGGGAAAATGACACAATGATCACTGAGGACTAGCATCTTAGATTGAAGACTTTCAGGTTTGATGAGTTAACATTTCATTATATTCTTAGGGGGATATGAAATGTGCTCCATCAGCCTTCCACATGACACATCTCAAATGCAGAGGCAAGTTATTCCAGCTGCTTTTGAGTGGAAGCTTCCCACATTCCTAGCCCATCTTTATAGTGTTGAGGTCTAAATGACAAAAGTAGCAAAGAAGAAATGGGCAAGGAAAAAGCTCTGTTGGTCTGCACACTGCTTTCCATACCAGAAAAAGTTAGCACATTTTTGTTTGTGGATAAAAGGCAGTTAAGGGGCAAGGGGGCATGATAAGTTTATAATGTGATGCACAGCGAGGAGAAAACAGCAGAATGGGGTCCCCCCCCCCGTCTTATAAAACTTAAACTAATTTTCACCAGTGAAATTGTTTCTGCAGCCAAGCAATGTTAGTCCTGTATTCATCCTGTAGGGGGCTCCTTTAGGGTGGCTTTTTAATACATTGGTTGTGAGAAACACAATTAATCTTTCTCTTTGCCTCCAACCACAATTCCATGTTTTTCAACTTCTTCTACATTCCTTATATCATATATGTTAACATGATCATCAACCTTGTTGAAAATAGAAATATTTCTATGCATAGTCGAGTACAGACTTGCATTAATTTGAGATTGCTTTATCATTTGGCCTTCCCATAAAGAATTCTGATAAATGCATTTTTGAGCAATGCAGAGAATTCTGTGTTTGAGGTGCCTATTTATTGGACTAGGAACCATAATTTCCAGAGTGCTTTAGGAAAAGAAAATAGCTCTCAATTCTGGCTATGTTTTGTAGGTAGATTTGCCTGTAGGCTGATGCACTGCATATAAAGGCACATGTTCCCACACATGAATCAGAAAAGAGTAATTGTAAAGAAATGTTCTACTACCGTCTTCCACCTCTATCCATTCTTCCTCTTCTTGAGCAGGGCAAACAGGGGTGGTGAAAGGGAATAAGTAAAGAAGATTAGCAAGGGAGCACAGTAAGCTGTGGCGTCAAGCTCAAACACCTACACACAGCACAGATTTCTCCTCCAGTGCTGGTCTTTGCTTCACATTTGTGCAGGTGCTAAGTGCTTAGGAAGCCAGACATTAGTAAAGACACGAGGATATTAAACCTGGAAATTCCAGAATATAGAAAGTCACAGATTCACATCAAAACAGGCATTGGTAATGATGTTCACATTCAAATATATGAAAGAGGAAGCATGCAGGTACTAACAAATTGCAAGGCATACTGCAATTGCAATTGCAATTGCAATTGCATGTAGTAGAAAGCTTGTTCTGTGGGAAAGCTGATTTCCAAACATATCAGTATCAATCTGGTTTCATAGAACTACTCTTTCCTGGTTCCAAAAAACAAAAACCCTAATTATGCCTCAGGTGAGCAAATTATGGCCCTCCATGTGTTGTTGGACTGCGGTTTTCACCATCATCACCCTTGGCTATGCTGCCCAGGGCTAATGGGGGCTGCAGCCCAAGATTTGGAGAGTCCCAGCTTATGCCAAGCAACTCCTCAGTCACTCAGTCTTCAATCGTCTTAACTCTTTGTTATACCAAAGTGACATACTCGGGAAATTTATCTTAGATATCCTTAAAACTATTTGTATAAAGTAGTTGTGTCCAAGTGTGTTTATAACTGAGCTGGATCCAGTGCTGGTCATTCACTGGCACAACAGAAAACATCAGTGGAAAGATTTCCCCTCGTCTCTGCAGCCCCTGTGCAAACCCTTATTGTCTCCAGAGTGTTGGAGACCCTCTGTACCCTATTTCAGGGGTGCAAAGGAGACTGCAGAGAGAGGTGAAGAAGGGGATCCAGGTGCACCTGCAAAAGTCACACTGCGTGAACAGGCACCTACTCACACAACTGTTGGAACCAGCCATTATTCACTTAAAATACCTTGTATAACTTGCTTTCCCCCCACTCTGCAAAAGAAACACTTAAACTAGTTCAGTTTCTATGAAAACATAATAAAACAAGAATTAGCAACACTAATTTAAAAAAACGGTTAAAAAACCTGAAACACATCAGCCGCTACTGTATAAGAGGAGAACCAGGCTAAGAGTAGCGTGGATGAGAGCTAAACCATGGCTTGGCCAAAAGACTTCTCCGCTGGAATAGAATAGTGGCAAAAAAGGAAATAACCCAACCACATGTGGCCAGGAATTCTACACACATGGCGCCACCACAGAAAATGCCCTCCCTCACTTGCTACCAGAAGAACGAAAGAGCCTGCTCAGATAAAGAGCTCATTGCTAGCTACATTGTAATGCATAGTTACCACCATGGGAGATGATGAAACAGTAAGGCAGACCACCATTCCCAGCTGTGATTTTGCAGTAGCAATGGAAGCTTACCTTCTTCAACACACTCTTCTGTGACATGAAGGAAGAAAGGAAAAGAGAAAGCATGAACAGAGCTGCAGTGTTTATTTTGAAAGCGTCTTGAATGTTATTGTTTGTTGTTTCTTACCTTCCTGTTCCCTGTAAAGCAGAAGAGAAAACAACTAGGTTAGAATAATATCTGACCTTTCAAACAAACAACTTGTTTTAGGACAACAAAAACCATAGTTCATGTCCCTTGCATATATATTTGGAAGAACATGATAGAATTGTCAGCCAGAAACAACAAAAAGTCTTGTGACATAAAAGTTTATGAAACCATTAGGGCTTCACTACACAAGACTTGTAAGCCTTTGCTTTACTGAGGTCGCTGCGTCTGGATCTTACTGGGATTAAGGCCTGCTCTTTTACACATGCTTTTTGGCCTGTTCCCCTGGGTTTTTTCTTTCCCTGTCTTTCTGTATGGTCCATTAAAGAAACACTGTAACACTTCCTACCTGACATATTGCAGAATTGCATGAATGCATGAGGGTCTTATTCCAGTTCATCGTTGCAAAAGGTGGGAGATTCCCGGGAGGACGGCATCATCATGCGAAGCACTCGCAAACTGTGCACATGTGAGGAGTCTTGAGAGCCACAAGATTCTCTCCCCAAACCTCTTTTTTGTGTTAAAGTAATTCTATCAGCAGCTCATATACCACCACCCAAAGCTGTAGCAGCTCTTTGGAAAAACAGATGCCTGGGTTACCTCATATACCTTTTGCTACCACTAGTCAACATTTTATTTTATCAAAGGATATTGTCGCCCTGCATGGGCACCAGAAGATGCTTGCTAGGTCTGTTGGCCTTTGAATTTGCCTTGCCAACACTGCTGGGAAGTGGGCACACCCCAGTTCTCGACATGATATATTTCAGCTTCAATCAAAAGCAGAAACTCAGTTCATTTTCTGGTGTCTTCCCCATTGACAATAATGGGAATATCAACAAGTGTCTTTAACTGTTTTTTTAAATGGGCAAGCATAGTTATTCCTTCTGAAGGGATGTGTTTTCATGAGGAATTTGCCGTGTTCTTTGGTGTGTTGCTTTGAGATGCAGAAAGAGAACGAGAGAATTCAAGTAGCTCTACCATCTTGTTTGCCTCAGACAGTAGAGAACTAGGTATTTTTGGACCTTGTAAGACCATTGCAAGTTCCTCATTAGATTGTCTTGTGTAAAACTTCAGTTGTGCAGTATAGTATAGTATAGTATAGTATATACTTCAGTATAGTATAGTATATAGTACAGTCTATAGTATACTATAGTATATACTTCAGTTGTGAATTATAGCTAATATTCCTTCTTCCACAACCATTCCATACTTTATCACTGTGTCTGTATGCCCTGTATGTTTAAATGTTTACCATCCCTGCTAAAAATAGCAATAACAACATTCACGAGCATATTCAGGACTTCATTTTATTGTTAGTTACACCATAACATCATCATAAGTACAGGGCTGATGGAAGTTGTAGTTCAATAAACATGGAGTGCACCAAATTGAGGAAAGCTGCTTTAAACTGTTGTTCCCAAGACCGGATCCCCAGCTGTTACTGGACTACCCCTCCCATTTCCCAGCAATCATGGTCAATGGACAGGGAGGATAAGAATTACAGTCCAACAATATTTCCAAGGTTGGCAACCACTGCTCCAGGTGTACCAGCGTGGCTTCCTATACAGTCAGACAGTCACTGTGGTTTGAAGCTCCTTTTGCAGCTCCGGGGTCACAAAGCATCCATCCACACACCAGTTGTCTGTTAAACCATAACTTTCCCCCTAACTACCCCAAAATTTCCCTGAGCACTTCCAGCATAAACCTGGGAACATGCCTGAGCAGCCATATCCCTAAACTGGTCTTCTGGCTTCAGTTTTTTCTGTATTTCATTTCTCCCTCTCTCTAGGACTTTCTCTAAACATTGTATTTACCTTGAGTGGGATGCCAGAAAGAGACTCTGGTCCTGCAGACCCTGGCAAGACTCTAATGTCTGTGGGGCACTAATGGATCTCATTATTAGTACAGAGTATGCAAATCACTATCAGGAAGGAGGGGTGCTGATGCAGAAACTCTCTTGGGGACAGTGGGAGGGGAGAATAGATGGGGAGCATCTCATATGCCACTGCTGCAGAGGGAATCAATACCAATCTGAAAGCTTTCAGAGCCTCCACAGAAGAAGTAAAAGATATGGACTTTCTCTTCAGCTGTACATCACGGCTGTCCTTGTCCCTGTCTGTGACCTGGTATTGCCTAATCAATTTGAACCAAGCCAGGACAAGTTCTTCCACAGTGCATTAGACCACCAGTGTGACTTCCCCTTGACCTCAGCCTATTATTATTGTGTGATTTGAGTCACCCCAAGGGATGAATTTTCTACTATGAACCTTCTTTCATTTATGCATTTGATTTCATTTCTATATAACCAAATAGCCAAAGCTATCTGGGCAGCTTACAGCAACTCCTAAAAGCAAGACATAATGTAGTAAAAACAATCATAAGCATTTTCCACACCACAAAATTTTAAAACAGTTTAAAATTCAAGACCGAGTAGACATGTTACAAACAGCAAACATGACTGCCTCTATCAAGCCACTGAATGCCCTGATATATATGTAAATACCTCAGCACAGAGGGCTGCCAATCTGGCACTGAAAGGATGACAACATTGGCCCCAGGTTAACACAGAAATTTAAATAAACTGCCAGTGTGGATCTTCTATGTGGACCATCTATGTTCTAAGGACCCTCATCAACTCTTGTTCCCAGCAGATAAGATTACCTCTGATTTGAAACTGGCTGGGCTTTTAATGGCTCACTTCTAGGCTGGGTTTGTTGGAAATTTGACTAGAATTAAATGAACTGGCATGTAGATTGAGGAGCCCTGTGCTTTGGTGGAAGAGATAGGAAAATACTTTATAAGTAGCATGTGGACAAGTATTAGACAACTTAATGTATGACTTCATGTTATGCATCAGCTGGAGATGCAGCTCAAGTAACTGTAACAGGTGCCGTGAAAAGCAGGGGGCTGGTGCCTACGCAGAAGGAATGAGGAGAGGCTCCAAAGGAGTATTTTTCAATAGTCTCTGTTGGGTGAGTCTTTGGAGTTGAAAATTAGACTATGTGAGAAGCTGCTGAGTGAGTTGTGGGTATGTAGGAAACTGAGAAAGTGTGAGGCATGGGGAGTGACAGGGCGTTCAAAAGGTATGAAGGATGCCTAGCATTGCAAGCATAGTCAGGTCACAAGAAGCCAATGCCATTCAGGACTTGTATGCTTCTGTACAGTTCCTACTTTATTTCTTCCTGTATCCAAAATCTTCCAACCAAAACGATTTTCAGACTAGGAGTGGCTCCTAGCACATATTGCCCAGGTCATTGAGTCCATACAGTGAATGGATTCACAGGACACAACACCCCATTGTGAGTAACAAGCCATGTCGGTTGTTATGCTAACTCAGAGCACTTCCCATGGTGTGGTTGGTTTGGAGGGTATGAGGCCACCCCGACAAGCCATAACTTGTTCTAGGAGTTGCTAGGCCCATCACAGGTGGTCATGTCATCGAAAGCTTAGTGACCAACCCCATCATGGGGCCTAGAAAGTGGTGATTGAGGCACTCAGCAAGTTTTTTCCCCCAACCACAAGCCTTTTTGTAGACACCCTGGCTTCCTCCACCCCTGCTTTTCCCCCATTCTCCTTCAGAGATCCCTTTTCATGATTTTTGACCATTGGAAGCCTCTCTATAATGCCCAAGCATGACATTGGAGGGTTTTTCACTGGTTTGCCTCTTTTTCTTTTTTTAAAAAAGCACCCCAAATGTGCACAAATATTTGCACAAGTGTTCACCCTAAAAGGAAATCATTTGGACTTACAGCTGCAAAGGACTGTGCTTGTACAGAACTGAAACCGAGGCCTTGCTTGACCTGCCAAAGTACAGTAGCAGTAGCCGTGGGCATTGACTTCGAGAAGCTGCAAATTGGGTTACATTTTTATTTTGCATTCCTGTGACAGCTGTCAAAAGGTAAGCTATCAAAGGAAACCAAATCTGTGATCAACCCCCCAAGCAGGAAACTCTATTGGAGAGAGAGACAGAGAGAGAGAGAGAGAGAGAGAGAGATTGGCTGCATCTGACTCTTCTCAGTTTCTTGCATCTTTTCCACCCTTTCCCAAGACTCTTAAGTGTTCAGAAAGGTGAAAACATATGAGCCACCCCTTTTTACAGGGGTATGGAACTTTGACACCAGTCAAAGCATAACTTCCAATTAAAATGAAGGTTTCAATAGGGATAATCATGGTTCTTTTTGACAAGAATATATGCATATCAATCTGGGAGACAACCAAAGAAGAAGGAATGGTGGGAATAGCCCACTGGACGCCTGATCACCTGATCACCTGAGTTGCAGAGCATGATTTGTTGTCTTGTGCAAACCCAATCGGTGACCAACTGCTTTGAAAACCATTGAATGGGCCTATATACTAAGCATGCCTGTCAAGAGGACAAGACTTATTGTATACTGTTATATGTGTTTTATATTGTTAATTTATGTATTTTAATGTATTTACTTGTAAGCCGCCCCGAGGCTTTGGCGAATGGGGAGGCCTAGAAATTTTCTAAATAAATAAATAAATAAATAAATAAATAAACAAACAAACAAGACCCTTTGCACCCGCAAAGGTGCCTATGTAACAATTTGAGCTGTATATAACATGGCTACCTGCAGAGTTACTTCCAGATTTCTGATGGACCTTGGGCAAGTAACCCTCAATGGGGTCTCTCTTTCAGTAAGTCTACTTTCTCACTGGTCTTGGTCCTCATCATATTTCCTGCCATCACTACCATTTGCTTTCTTGACTAACAGACAGTCCATTGAAAAGTTTATTTATATGCATCGTTGCACATTTTTAAATGGATATGATTTAAATAGAAATGTAATAGTGCTGGAGGTGGGGAGAGGGAGATGGTGACTCGTGTGCCTGCTCCATCTGTTGTCCAGATGTTCAGTGTGGATGGACAACTTCAAGGCCTCTGTTCTCAGTTCTGATAGTTAAAATGCATAGGGAGACACCTTTAAATGAAGGATACGAGAAAGCAGGCTCCCCGACAGCCCTTCCCAAAGAAGACTAAATTAGGACCCGCAGCTTCCCTAGTCAGGGGTTGCATCATCAGGCAACAGCCAATGCCCATGCGCCAGTCCTTGGACCCTCATGACCCTCCTCTTCTTTCTCCTCGTTGCTTCTTCACTTGCCCGCAGTGAGCAACTGACCAGTGACAGGAGCGAGAGAAGAAGTTATAACCCACCTGTCCTGTTCTCACTCGCTGGAAGGTGGTGTGGGCTGGGCCCAGCATGAGAGGTATCCACACTGACGGTCAGTATCCATACTGATGAGGAGGAGGAGGCAAGCAATGCTTGGGTGTGGGGTCCTTCAAGAGTAAGCCCTCCCCACCAACCCCACCCCTGAAAATAGCATTCTTTGTTACATATCTATCTATCAACAGTATTCAAAAAATAGCATAGGAAATTAAAGTGGTTTGCTGAGAATTTTGCTGGGTCGGCAGCTATGAAGAATGATTTTCCCAGGTATCAAATTTTTCTCCAGCTTTTTGCTATGATAGACCACTCCAGCCAATCAGGGTGGCTTTGTTATACGCTTGCCATAATCCCAGGAACTTGCTGAGTAAGGATGCATGGCATATCTAAGCAGTCAGAGAGCCATACCGGTCACTGAGAGTGTCAGAACAGGCATTGAGCTACCACCTGTCGCTCTCCTGGCTTTGGAAGGGAAAGAAATCTCTTTGAGCATCCCCCAGTACTTACTCTTCATATTCCTCGATGATCTCTTCAGTATCCGACATTTTTGGTTACCTGCAAACAAAGCAAAGCAAAACAAAACAAAGCAAAACAGAGGAAATGTTAAAAGTTGCAGTAGATCCACCAAAACCAAAGGCTTAATTAGGCATCAGACTACTATCTGAAATAGCTATGACATACCGGCTGTGAAATGTTGGGAGTTGCAAGTCCTTTTTCTGCCTAAATAGGCATAGGATTTTTTTCCCAAATCAGAGATGCAGAGGAGATCAAAGGGAGTCACAGGGCAGATCCAGTGGCCAGAGGAAAGTACATCATTGTAATACATACTCTCTAACATTTGTCAGATAAAAATAGTTGCACATGCTTTACATTAAATGAGAAAATAGCTTGTCACAGCAGAAGTATACACAACTGGTTTCTGAGGGGTCTATTTACAGATGCACCCCATTAAGCAATTCTCGAACACTGCCTACCTTTCCAAGGGACTCACTTGACTATTCAGATAGCATGTACGTGTACGCTTTCTGTGTGTCATGGGGTTGCCTGATATGAGAAATATTTAGATACCTTGATCTCGCAGGCATGTCTGGCACAGAGGACGTGATGACTGACCATTCCATCCACAAGTACAGGCCCAATGACTGGCTGTCATTTATGAGTCTCAGAGACTTAGAAGAAGGTCACATGACTGCATCAGTAACTGCAGGCTGTGTCACATGCTAGCACTCCAGAGAACCAGCCAATGGAGTCAGTGGGCAGCAGCATCAGGCGTCTGCTGAGTCCCATGTTCCAGTAAGGGGCCCCCAGCCAAGCCCTGGGGCCTCCTGGCCACAGACTTCCCACTGTTGCTGCTTCTTCACCTGCACTTAATGAAGAAGTGAACAGTGGGATAAATGAAGACTAGAATCTATAACTGTCAGTTTGCTCTGAATGATGCTGCAGATTGGGCCCAGCTTGAGGGGAAACCAAACAATGACAGCAAGGAGGAGGAGGAGAGAAGGAGGAGGGCATGCCTAGGGAGTGTGTGTGTTGGGGAGGGGGGAATCCACTGAGTACATCTTCTGCAAACAACATTCAATTCTTGGAATCAGGCTTTGCTAACTATATCCAGGGTAAACGACTGGAGTGCCTTGCATTTTAACTTTTGAAGCATCCCAGATACCCCTTTTCTTGATTTCCTCATTTCATAAACATCAGGTAATAAATATTTGAAGTAATTTCCCACATTTGGGGAATATGGCCCAGGATTCGGTACAAATGTTGCATATGAACAGCAACTTGTGTCCCACATAAAAATAGACTGAAGGCTTTCTTTCTTTCTTTCTTTCTTTTTTTTTTGCTGAAAACTTGTGGAGAATTGGGATAGGGGGAACATCCAGACATTAAAGAATACTCAGCAGACAGTTTCTAGAGTGAAATATTTGAGGTACAATTGTGGGTCCAAGCAAATAAATATTAATCAAATGGTTTGGTTCATGCTCATTTCATATTACCCGTCTTCTAGGATTCTATTCATTATGAGCTAAACTATATATAGTTTCACTGAATATCAACCAAGATAAAAATCAGATGATTTTCCTTTTCAAAGTTCTGCAGACCTGCCAATGGGCCAAGGAATATTTGTCATTTTGTGAAATAATGGGAAAGTCCTATAAAATGACTGTCCATAAACAGCCAGGCAAACATGGAGGTTATTTTTGCTCAGCCATCTCAAATACAGTTTAAGGGCATACAAAAGATATATATGGCCTGGGGTGCCTGATTCTGCCTAATCTTGGAAGCTAAGCAGGTTCAGGCCGGGTTAGGATTTGGATGGGAGACTTGAATCCTACACTGAGCTGGGGTTGGACTTGATGACCTTTCTTGATTCTCTGATTCTTATGAACTGCCCAGAGAGCTTTGGCTATGGGATGTATAGAATTGTGATTAATACTAATTATAATTGCACTCATCTCATATCTTAAGCATGTATTTCAGTGGCTCCCTGTTAAGTGCATTGTATATCTAAAGACTACATAAAAGGATGTTTCCTAGCAACATCAAATTTCAGCTTGAGCTACCTAGTTTCTTCTACTCTTTAGATTGCGCTTCCTCTTTTTTATTCCAAACATTTTTATAGGCAAAAATTGGTGCACTACCAGCATTCAGCAAAACTGCACATGTTCAGTAATGCAAAGAAAAAAAGGTTAACCGAGGACTATGTTCTCAGCTGCTTCTATACATAATCTAATAACTACTTGTGCAGCCGGGCATCTCAGGAAGCAGGTGTTTTTGTTCAGGCTGTTTTTCTAGTTTCCCTAATCGAGGAGGTGATGCATGTGATAGGAAGGAGAATGCTCATGGCTCTTCTGTGCACAACATCTAGGAACAAATATCTAGAATTTTGTCCTTGGTTGCTCTTCACTGGGGTGTAGAGGCTCAGGCCTGGAGTCAAACAGGGCCCTCCTGGGTCCCATTCTGGCCCCTCTGACATTCCTCAGAAGGAGATGCCCACTTCTCTTGCCACCACCCCCTTTCCCCCATCATGTGATGGTGGACTGGCTTTTGTGCAGATTTCCTCCCATTCTAAAGGGCTGAAGTATTCTTCTGTTGGCTTAATAGATTTTTAAGCCAAGACAAACTGGGATGTTTGGTTTTGGGGTCCTACCACTTTTGCCTGCAGCCCCTGAAAGCTTGTCCAAAATGGAACCCTGCTCCTGGGCTGTAAGAAGTCCTGCACTCTGCCCTGGATCCTTGGAAACGATGACAGCCTGAAACAAATTCAGATCCTTAGATCCATCCTTTTTGGATACTTAACACCTTTTGCCTGTCTACTACTATGATGACTATATAGGATGTCTACAACATTGTCATTTTGGGTCAGATGTCAATTTCTAAAGGACTTCTACTGGTCCAGGATCAAACAACCAAGGGGCAGGGGGTGGAAATGAAGGATTCTGACATGAGTTCTGATGAAGTCTAACCTTAGGCTGAAGGCTGAACAAGGTGTTTTGTTGTTGTTTGTAACCTTCAGGTACTTAGTTCACACAAGCCTTATATTACCCACTTCTGGAAAGGAGACAAGGCATTAATGAGGAGTAGGAAGGCAAAGGTTTAGGAAAGCAGCAGCACCATCTATGTCTATCTGCACAACTTCTAGCTGGAAGCCGTTGATCTTGGCTCGGATTCTGAACTCATTCAGTTGCTTGATATAATGGCAGTGGAACTGGGCTTTTCCTCCATGGCTCTGTGGCTTAGCAGCATACTTCTCCTAAAATAGGTGGCAGATTAGCTGGATCTGATAACTAAGAGCAAGCAGTGCTGTCTGCTGTGAGGGAGGGAGGGGTACATACACAGTGATGCAAAGGGATGCCTGTGCTAAATGAAGAAAAGAGATATCCTGAAGGAGTCATGCAACAGTAGGAAAACAAATAATTAATCTAGAGAAACAGGATTGTTGTGCTTTACTTTTCTGTTTTTCCCCTTATGAAGGATAAAAGCCTTTGCTGATGCCTTCATTTCACATCTTGGAAAAGGAAAACAATGGTTATGATCTTATTATTATAGCCCAGCACAATGTGGTGTATTGCCAATCTGAAGTTAGGGCATATTCAATCATATCTATATGCAGTCATCCTCAGGTGTCCTATATACAGTCTTCCTTCCTTCCTTCCTTCCTTCCTTCCTGGAAAAAAGTATTATTTATCTGCCGAAAATAGTAACTTCAGCTAACAGTAACTAACTTCAGGGGTATGGTTTAGGCCAGTGGTCAACAATGTGGTGCCATCCAGATATTTTGGATGGCCACAATCCCTGATCATCAGCCTTGCTGGCTGGGGCTGCTGGGACCTGTAGTCCAAAATAGATTGCCTACCTCCCCTTTAGGTATTCCAGGGATACTAGTAAGGTTTTTAAACACACATCTGAACAGAAGCCCTGTTTTCAGAAAGTGCCAGCTACAGCAAGCAGAAGGTAAAGAAGGGCTTTATGCTCTTAAAGCCAAAACAACTCAGCAAGAGATACAAATTACCGTATTTTTTGTTCTATAAGACTCACTTTTTCCCCCCTCAAAAGTAAGGGGAAATGTCTGTGCGTCTTAAAGAGTGAACATGTGTGTGCAGTAAGTCTGTCAGATGTGCAGCCCATGGGGAGGTGATGGGGAATGTGCCTGTGATTATGTGCTCATTTGATTCAGAATATTTTTTCTTGTTTTCCTCCTCTAAAAACTAGGTGCATCTAATGGTCAAGCGCGTCTTATAGAGCGAAAAATACGGTACATCAACCACAGTCCAGTCCTGGTGGTTTCTGTGGTAGAGATTTAAACTCATGCTTAACTCTCACAAGCAGTCATGAGGACCAGATAATGAGTAACTTTGGTTGGGATATGTCCTTTGCACTTACTGATATGAGAAACAATACGAGAAAAAAAGTCATCACTGGAGAACCAGCTCCATTCTTCATTTTCAAAACGTTTGTGTGCCTACATTTTTAAGGGACATGCTTTTCTCTAGTCTGTATGATTGCAGATAAAATTTGGGGAATAATAGAGTCATTGTACTATTGCCACCTTATTCCTACATGCTTGATATACTTTACAGTATACTTTACAGTCTTACCAATCCTCATAACAACTCTATGAAGTAGACTACCTTACACTGCACTGCAGCTGGGGCCTTTGCAGACCTTATGCATAGATTGAGTGCATGGACATCTCCTGACCCACACCCACTCTTTGTGCACCTCCCTGAAGATCCCCATATTGAGGGCAGCTTCTGCAAAAGGGGTCCTGGTCACACAGAAGCCTGAGGATATGCATGTTGTGTGCATGTGTAGAGGGTAGGAAATTGCCCTCTGCATATCCATGGGGTGGAGGCATGTAGCATCGGGACCAGAACCAAAAGATGCAGCCCTGATCCCTATCCCTGTATGCAGCCCAAGGGTGTTTTCAGATGATGGCTCCCCACACTACAAAGCAACTGTGTAGCTATTCCTTTTCTTCCTTAAAAGATTCTGGGGAAGAAGAAAGAAAGGTGGAAGGTGCAGTGGGAAAACACCAGAGACTTACAAGCTGAAGATGGTAGTGTCTGAAGTCTATGCAAAATTCCATTAATCAAGTGGTATGAGGGCCTCATTCTGAGCACCAGCATCTGTAAGGACTTGGTGAATAGTGATGAGCATTCAAGCACTGGCTTACACATGTGAGCTGCTGAGTTGATCTCTGCAGCGTCAAACGGTAACTCATACATGGGGACAACCTGTTAAGAGTATAAGCCCCCCAGCCAGGGGGCCCTTCATATCCCTGGTGCTTTTCAACAGAGTCCACTCACACAAGTAGCTTCAAGTAATGTATAACCCCAAATGGTGCACATGCATTTGTGAACTTCAGTCATAAGTTATGAACTTTGTTGCTCAAAAGCAATTTCACAGGCCATAAAGCAAGTTTACAGGTGTAAAAAAAAACAACAAAAACATCTCTTATAGGACCAGGTGCAGTGCCCTGTCATCAGGATTTACATGCCCCTTCAAGAAAGACACCTTATGCATACTCAGTGCTCTTTTCATCCTTATCAAATGGAAGTAAAAGTTCTTAAATTTATACACTGTGCTACATGCTTTCAGGTAGGAACGCTGGCAGCGGGCCTCTGGACCTATGCCATAAGGGTGCTAGGCACTAAATGCTTGTTTCAGTGGTAATAGGGAAAGAGGGGCATGCAGATTATAATCAAATAATTTTGGTTCATACTGTGGCGTTTGTAGGTTAAAGGATGTCTTTACAGTTTGCCATGCCATGCATATATATTTGACTAAGATCATCCCCTCCAAAGCAGGAGTCGGCCAGCATTGCTCACTGTGTCAAAGAAGGGCAGCATGTTCTCCTGGACTTTCTCCCAGACAAGATTCAGGTGATGCAGTTCATCCACTCATCACTCATTGTAGCAACCAAACTGGGGACAGGGGTAGAAAGTCATGTTCTGGTGTCTGCTATGCACCAGTCCCTCAAGCCCCATGTGGGTCTTGAGCAGAAGTGGACACTGGTACCGCTGTGCACCACCTCAGCATACCCCGAGCATGGCTTGGAAGGCAACATGTGGCAGAGGAAAGCCAATGACAACTGCCCAGAGTGCTGCTTGGGTGCTTTGGCTGTCTGTCATTGGAGCCACATGGGGTTTCATCGGGCCACATTGCAAAATACAGGTTCAGACAACATGGCAAGCCCAGGGGTAGCTACAAATTCTTACAGTAAGCCATGGATTGTTAGGGTGCCTTCATTGGCATAAAGAAACCACTCCACGGGGGCTGTTGGGTTCAAGTTACATGTCAAGTTACCATGACCAGAATTACAGTGGCTTAGTGTGTCATGTGATCGCCGTCACTGACACTAAACAAGATCACCAGGGCTTATGTGGAGCTATTCTGTTAACACTGCCATGAATTGTTGAAGCATATTAAGTATAATATTATATCTTTGGATATGTGCAAGTGTTTTCCGCCCACCAGTGATGTACTGTATTTTTATTATTACCAGCATTAGACTAGTAAATATTATTACCAATAGCAATAATTTCACTAAGCAGTCTAGAGAATTTTTTGTAATCAAAATATAACAAGATAACACAAACAAAAAATAGAACAAAATCCGAATAAAGCCACCAACAAGGGAGAAAAAGCAGTAGCACCTCAGGTCTAAAAAGCATTAAAATGAGTTTTTAAAACTGAAAAGCTGGGGAAATAAAAAGGTGCCTAGTAGGCCCCGGTGGGAATAGCAATCCACAGGTGGGGTACCAGCAGAAAAGACACTCTTTTTACTAACTATGTGCCACAAATCCTTTAGAAGGAACATCAAGAGAAATGTCTTTTGAGCAGAAACAGATGTGAAATCATTGGATAGATTATAAAATCAGAAAATGGGACTCAGGTTGGCTTCAGCCCACTACTTTTAATTCTAGAAATTAACTTTAATTAAGCATAAAAGTATCTTCAGATTTTGGCTTTTTGGTATCAACCCGTCTTGGTCTTGTGCTATTACTGCTTGGAACATACTACTTTGAGCAATTTTCCTGGGATCTTGCTAGATATTTTCCTGGAGACTTAGGGTGAGCTGTTTCTGGATAACTCCAGTAGCTTCTTAAATCACTCTTCCATCACTTCTACCTTTCCTTTGAACTGTCATAAATGCCTGCTTTTTCATACTTTCTCCAGGCATTTTAGTCTTCCAATTACTTCCCATACTGTATACTGTCATCATTTACTACTAAATGCTAAAAATTATATTTTTATATAGTTCAATCCTAAGCATATTTACTCAGAAATGCATCTCTTTGTGTTCAGTGGGCCTTACTCCCCTGTATGTATGTTCACTATTGCAACCTAAACAAAATAGGAATATTTTATACAGGTTCAGAACCTAGGCAAGAGTTCTAGCTGGATCACTATTGCAAAATGGTTTCTCAGCACTTCAAATTTTATGATGGACAAAATTTGAAAAACAGTGTATACAACTTTGGCACACATGTATTCACACAGCCTGTAAACATGCATTGAAATGCTATGCAGATGAAATATGGATTTTGCACTAAGACAAAACAGATGTAAGATTTATTACAGAAAATAGTAGCATTTCATTGACCTGGAATTACACTGAGATGATATTGAGAATGGCAAACCTCTTGATAAAAACAACATGCTATGTAAGTGAGGTTACAAAAATCATCCATTGCATATTTTTACAAAGAACTTTAGGGAAACTTGAGGATGGATCCGTAGTTCTGCCAGATTTCTGATTACAATGCATGCTGTTTAATCTTCAGTGCCTATTCTATGGACTCTACAGAATCCTAATTGAGTTGCCTTTTCCTCTCTGATCATCAAACAAGACAAAACAAAACAAAACAAAACAAGACAAAACAGATGTAGCAATTGTCTAAATGCCACATCAATACTCACCATAGTTTAATACTATTTTCTATCAATGTATCATTCAACAAAAACAGTTTTTCACACTTCCATTGTGTTATCCTATCAATGTGATGTCTATATATATATTGTATGTGTAGACTGCTGAATGTACTGTTTTCACATTCCATACCATCCCACACCCCATCTTCCAATGGCACACTTTGCATGCAAATCTGAATTTCTTTTGTTTTCTTTATTTTAAAAAAACCTGATTAAGAGCAGAGTGTAATTTCTCTGCATTTTAAAAACCCCCTAGCAGTGGCCTGACATCTACAAGGAAGAGCTCACTTTTCACTCCTGGAAGGGGTAGTTCCTGAAGATTTGGGATAGGGAAGGTTGAGGGCTAATTTCAAACAATGCCCCTTTCCCAGTGGGTATTAATATCAATTATTGCCAGGTATTTCAAGCATATACCTCAGATAGCTTAAGAATGAGTAATGTCAGCCAAGGTTGGAGCCTTACCTCTTTGCGCTGAGACAACAGGTGAAAAGTCCTTTTGGTGCAAATGAGTGTGGTGCCTGAGAAATGCAACTTTAAAGAGTGAGGTTTTAACAAGGGCAGTCCACCCCAGCCCACCGCCCCCAGGACCAGACGCTTGATTGGAGGAATGCCAGCAGGGGACAGCTTGGAATGCTAAGCTTTGCAGCTATTTTGGCAGCATTCAGCTGAACCCTCTTGTGCAACTCTCTGCTTCCCCACCCCTGAGCCCATATAAGCCCTTGCTATTGTATGGCCTCAGAGAACTGCTATTTTAAAACCGAGATATACAAGTGCCTAAGAGTCTGACACAAACCAGCCAGCTGTCATTCGCAAGTGTCCTGGAACTCTGATATGGAATGTTTTTTGCCTAAGAGGGGTTGGGGTTGAAATCTAGAAGGCTAGCAAATGAGTCTTGACACATAGCTTTGTTCTCCCTGCCCCCAACCCTTTTAATCAGAGTGCCACTGAGACTCACACTGTCTGCACAGCTGTTTTGGCAAATGGGTCAAGAGAGAAATGATAAGGTACCGAAAAAAAAAAAAAAAAAAAAAAAGCTTGGGAAGCCACCATAAAATTGAAGCTTTAAACCAACTGAATTGGGCTCGGGGTGAAAAAAAAACAGAGCTTGCTCCATCATACCTGCAAGGTTTCTGGTACATAGAGCCCAGAACCTCACTCCATGTGTTTCATCTCATATTTCAGTGAAAAGGTAACAGAGAAAAAAAGCATTGTTATGCTGTATTAACTGCTTAGAATGTAGCTAGAACACTTCCTGGGAGTACTGTTCCTCCATCAACTAGGAATTCTGACTTGGGTTTTGCCACTAGCCTCCATCTTTCCAGGTTGTTTAACTTCCAGTAGTGCCTTCCAAATATTCACCATTCAGGGCATATTTCTGGTACTGAGTTGTCTGCTGAGAACCCCCCGAGAATTGTCAGATCAAATCTTATGAAGCATGCTTTAAGGGAACTTATCCTGACCTGGTGCCTTATATATATATCCTACATATCCTGACCTGGTAGGCAGTCCAGCTGTGTTGGACCACATACCTGGATACGTTCTCATGATGGAAGTTGCAGTCCAAAAATCTGGAGGGCATCAGCTTGGGATAGGCAATTCAGAACAAAACCAGATCGATCTCCTGAGCCCAGTCTGAGCACAGCATCACTGCCCTGGAGCTGCATGTGGGCTCACTTTCTCTGAGGAAACTTCTCTGCCATCACTTACTGATCTTCTCACTGAGGCATTCCAGATAAGTTTCCAAGGAAGTTCATGGTCCCCCAGAGCATACTTACAAACTAAACCACAGACTTGTACAGTGTCTCACTGTTGGCCCCAATGTGCTTCTTTCGCTGTGGTCATCTACCATCTTCTCTTGCTCTGATCACCACACAGGAGATAGATGCTACCTCCAGCCCACTTTTATCATAGCATAGATATGCATAGCATAGCATAGATCATAGCATAGCATTATCTTTTTGCAGTGCTGTCAAGATTCCTTCTTTGCTTCCTTATCCACTTATACACATCTCATGCTGGAGTCTTGAAACATCTGCACCAAAGTCCTATTCCCATAATGGCTTGGCATGCAGTAGATGTGGGGCGGGGGGAGGCAGTTTGTTGTGAAAGATGTTCAGGAGCATGCCATGAGCTTCACATAGCTAATTTGCCACAAGCTGTATCCCATGCTTACCTTTAAATGCAGCTGCCGTACACCTAATATGATGGTCCTTGGGGAAGGAATCGTCACTTAATGTGTTGCGTGATATGTACAAGAAGGGGAGTTAGGTTATTCTATCACAGGCCCCTTAAAGAACAACCGGGTGGGCTGTTGCCTGTGTGTCCGGCGTGTGGATATCCTGAAAGATTCTGGCTAGCCATGGTTGGAATCATGGACTAGGCTAGATGAATCCCCAGGCTAGTTTAGCAAGGTTCTGGTTGCATCCTTAGCAAACCAAAGTGAATAGACTAAATAACAGTCAGAAATGACAAGTACTGGAACCAAAGTTATGTTTATTATGAAATACAGTAAAAGCCAAATCCACCCCATGACCAATGAATCTAGAGTAAGGTCTTTGTAGCCAAATAAGGTAAAACAAACAAACCAAAATACATCAAACAACTTGACTTTTGTTATACTCTGGCTTTGCATACAAACCTATGCACCTGTTAAAATCAGCTGTGGACTAATTAGGCTGGACTCTTGTATGTACCTACCTGGGTGGGGTCCCTTTGAGCCCAATGGACCTAGATTCTAATTAGTGGTGCACAGGTTTTCACTATAACTCCTACTGAAAATAATGGACTCATGAGACGATTGTTTCATTCGTTTCAGCAGGCCTTAGTTATGACTAGAGCTGAACTGAAGCAGAAGAGTGCAGCCAGAGAATATATTCTCACCAGTATGTCAGTTTTTCAGGAAGGCTTTTAAGCTATTTTTTCCCATATGGGGTTTCTGCAGACAGAAGGCCCCCAAGACATATTCCAACAGACTGCACTCTGCTGCCCCCCACCCCACACACACATGCACACACATGCACACCTATCACCCCATTTCTGATATTCAGGCAGTGGCAGTTCTCATGGCCCTGATCATTTGCAGGCTTGGCACAATTTTTCTCCTGCTTCGTCCTAGTGACCTCATCATGCATCATAGACAAATTATGTGGTTGTGTGATGACATCATGGAGAGCTGACAAACCGGCTTGTTTTGCTTTGTTCAGTAGCTGGTGCTTGTAGGTATGAGAACTAAATGGTGGATCCTGTTAGAGCATCCGTCATGGCAGAGGCATAGCATATGCATGATCCAATGAATGGACTGTATGTTTCCATGCCTTCAACTTGATGATAGAATGTATGGCTTTAGTATTTGGGGACTAGAAGATGTAGAAGTAGGAAGGGATATAAGTGGATTTGGAAACAGAATTTCTATGTCATAAGTGTCAATTATGTCCCATCCACCAATCAGAAGTTCCCCCCTTTTTTTGCATCACCAAGAAACCCTATCCATAAAAAGGCACAAAAGGCAGGATGTCTGATATTGTTTTCCAGGCAAATGGCCCTATGCAAGGGAATAGTCTGAAACCAAGGGAAGCAGAAGGAGTTCAAGTGGTCCAGGCCTTTGATTTAAATGGAGAGGAGTTGTCCCCAGAGCAGCTTGTACAGGCGCATCTGAAAGATACAAGGAAGCATTCGTTTGGTACAAGGGAGCAAGAAGGTTAAGAGGGATGCTAAATCTGAATATACAAAACTCAAGGTCGGCCTGAGCATTAGGCCTATATAAGCACTAGTTCATATACAGACCAACTTATTTAACATGTTGCCATAAATATTCAGGTTGCAAAATGATTATTATTGCACATTCTCTTTAAATTGCTATTTTGTAAATTTAGGTTCCACTGTTCAGTTCCAGATGGAATATGCGCCTCACCCGCTCTGTTTTATCTTTACAATTAGTGCTACAATGAACTCCGTCCCCTGTGTTTGAGATTTTCCCTCCTTGCAAAAAATAAAATAACATTTCCTGCCTCTTTTTCAGGGAGGAGAATTTTAAAGTCATGTCATGTTAAAGTCATGAGAGTTGGGGAGCAGTTGCTTCATTGACCTTATCAAGAGTCCAAGGGTCTTCTACCTGTTTTTATTTTATTTTATTTTATTTTATTTTATTTTATTAACACCACTTACTTTTTCACAACATTGCAGAGCTCTTTTTTCTTAAAACCTTAGGGGGAAAAACTGCTTGTTACATAGGGGGCTGTTCTCAGACAGGTTTTTAGTCTGGCAGCAGTATCTACAACATCCATGTGAACATGCGAATGATAGAAGCACATAAGGGGTATTTTTAAAGTCAAAACTAGACAGAAGTCCCTTCAGACACTTAATGATGGAAAGAGCTTCAGACACGCTCTTAACGGAAGCTGTGCACTCCAACTCACTAGTTTCACATTTCTTTGCCTCCTCCCCTCCCCAGTCTCTTCCACATGACTTTGTCTCTCCCCCACCCTCCATGAATTGCCAAAAATAAAAGTATTTGGCAGAAAACTACTTGCAACAGTTAAGCTGAGAGATAATGACCCAGTTTGCACTAGCAACTAGTCAGGGCCACACGGGCAACAAGTGAGCACTTTGTCTCCCACCTGCTCAGCACTGCCACATTTCATCTACTTTCTCAAACGACCCAGGAATGCCTCATACTGGGAATGTTTGGTTCAGCATGCAAACACGGAACTCTGGGTTATTGAGGGTCAGACATGCTGGGGTTTGAACCCATGGTTTGCTGTTGTGTTAACACTGAGCTGTTTATTACACGGGGCTGCTGGTCCCTCGACAAATCCTAGTTTTGATTTTGCATGTTGCATCAAATGTTTCAGGAAAAGAAAACTGTTTATGAAAGCAAATGTAAAGCAGGTTAAACAACCCATTCATTAGTACTGCATACAAAGCAGGTGGGTCAAAGTTAAACCTGGCTCTCTGGGTCTGACACTTTAACTACAAGAATTTCATTCAGAAAACACAATAATCCACACTCAAGGTTGAATGTGAATTGTTGAAATGCAGGATGTTGTTATAAACAACCCATGAAGGGAACCCACGGTTTGTTGTTGGGTTGTTAACTGTGAGTGATTTGCCATGGTTTGTTATCTTACTGGGTTAAGACAAAACAATAACCCATGTTTCAAGGGCAAATCATGGGTCAATGGCAACCCACACTCCATCACTAAGTGTGGATTATTGTGTTGTCTGAACTTAGTCAATGCAATAAATGAAATGAAATGCAGCACCGGCCCTGGAAAGATATAATCATTTTTACAATAATTAACTCCTCTCTACCAGCTGCCCCTTGAAGATCTGAAGATCATTTATATGCTCAATCTTTAGCGGTTATAACTGTGAGGAATCTCTGCCTTGCTCTGTGGGTCAGCAACTGCTTCAGCTCTTTCACTGGATTTATATCTTGCCCATCTAACACTGAATCACCAACATTAACTGTCAGGTTGGCTGGATCCATGCAGAATAGCTCCATAATGCATCCATCCCAGTAAGGCATCTATTCTAATACTGCTCAGTCCTTATCAGCAGCACTGTGGTAGCACAATGAACATGTGTTGAATGAGCTGCACTCTGACGTGCCAAACAACTGCATTACTGTTTGCCCCCTACCCAAATCCACTCAGTTCAAAAGAACTTGCTTCACGATCAAAGAGAAGGTTATTTCATGACTTAATTCACCTCCTTTTGCCCTCACCCTGGTTTTCTTTCAGGAATCATTGGACTGTTTCTCCCATTGACTCCGCTGTGAAGTGTTCTCAGTTCTCCGAATGTTCTGCAGGAAAACAAAGGGCAGGTTTTAAAAAGTTATTCCCATAGAGGGCCACTGCTGGCTATTGTTTGCTGATCTAAGCTTGAAATAGGACTTGGAAAATGAGAGAGTAGGGAAAGTTTTTTGGCCCAAGCGCTTTCTCTTTCTCCCTCCCTCCCTCCCTCACACACACACTCACTCACTCACTCACTCACTCACTCACTCACTCTCTGCAGGTACACTTTGTTCCTCCTGAAAATGCCATCCCCATGCTAGGAAGAGTTCTTCAACTAGGCAATTCTCTTGCCGCAACCAGTTGCTGGGAGGAGGCAGGTACCTGAGAAAAAGCTGGTGGATTAGCTGTGGACCTCATGAGGGTGAGAAGTTCGCCTTCTCTGATTTAGAGCCATGAGGTTCCAGTGAAATCCAGACACACCACCTGGATCTTTTTCCATTATGGTGAAACATTTAATGTCACTCCAAGTAAAAATGTCTGCAGGCGGAGGTGTGAGATAGTTGTTTAGTTTCCAGGTGACCATGATGTTCTTTTGAACAACTTTCAAACTTCAATAGGTGATGGCAAAAGGCACACTAGAGCAGGGCAGAATTTGCGTGGACAGGAACGGTCATGTGAGGCACAAGAGATTAAGAGGAATATAGTTTTGAGCAACTCCATCTTCAGTCAGGAGCCCTTAGGGAGGTACATATGACCCACCCCATTCATGTTGGAAGACTGCAGGAGATGGGCACAGGGTGGCATGAAAAAGCTCTGCTCCTGCTGAAGGTGCCTGCCTTGGCCTTCACATAACTGCTTATGGAAGAATTGCTTCCCCACGGTCTACACATTCAGCTGTCTATGTTCCTCACATGCATATCAGTGCGTGTTAAAAAACTTTTGTGTGAGACACACACAAAATCACCAATATGCAAGGAGCATCCTACATACCAGGTGAGCACATGGGGTGTTAGGAAGTGCTTCCCACATGGATAGCAAGCATAAGGTTTGCAGTAAGGGTGTTCATCAGTCATGAGGGTGGGGCTAGTCCAAGCAGTCATGTAATCCCTTCAATGTTTCTCCAAAATGTGGGTACTAGTGATGTGAATTGCCCTCTTGGCAGTTCCAAAGGGCAGAATAAGGGAAACACTTCAAGTTCCTGAACCAAATGAACAATGAGCGAGAGGAATAAAGTCCCTCTCCCATCCCGAGACTTTATTGGCTTCACCTAAGCAGGAAGCAATGACAGCAGTGGTGTGCAAGCAGTTAACCCCTCTAAGTTGCCAGATAGAAAGTGATGCAACACACCTTGACTCCTTCATCCTTGCTAGGCTCCTGTGTACGACTGATCCAGAGATTGATGCGAGATGAGACTCCCCCTGGGATCTTAAAACTCTCCTAGGAACAGAGAACATTAAATGGAGAAAGGAATGAAGAAGTTCCCTATTACTGTATTACTCCACAATGGCAGTTCTCGTTTAGTTTGTCTGGCAAATATGAATCCTTTCAAATTGAATAGACAAAAAAGAAAAAAAGAAAAAAAAGAATGCAAACTCAGTGATAGGATCAGTTACCAGTGTTGCAGGTCGGCAAGAAAAGTAAATGCTTGTTTCGAAAACAAGAACTTCCTCCACATTATTTTAGAACTTTATGAATTTGTGCACTTGTACAAGTTCATTTTTATTCTTTCTAGCATAACTTTAGTTTACCCAAATGCAGATGTGAGAGTAAAGAATCTCTTTGGTGACATGCCTAGAACTATGATGAAATATTGTAAGTTTGAAGTGCTGGCTGATAGGGCCATGGAGACAACAGGTGGCAAAATCTATGCCTGCTTTATCTCCTGCTGCATCAAGAGATTCAAATATATAAGATTGTCCGGGGAGACCTGCAAGTGACACCAGTAGGGGGAATACAGTGAGGTCAGGGAAAGGTGGCATAGTTATCTGGACTATGAGGCACTGCACCCCTAAGGTCCTCTGGCTTGGAGTCTGGTGACCATTCTGCTGCACAACAGGGTTGAGCAACTTTACTAGGGCTGTGACGAGATGGCCCGCAACTTGAGGGTGCCACTTACCTCTGTCCAAACAATCCCTACTAACTTTTGTGGAGTTCAGCTGCTGAGCATCACTTCAAGCTCAATGTTTCTCCCTGTGCTCAGTCCTTACCTTCCGAATAAGAGTGGTAGGCTCAGCCCGCACATTGGTTTCAAAGATACTGCGCTTACTGGCCACACCCTCAGAGGATGGTTGGAAATTTTTCCAAGCAGATGGAGACAATTTGATTGATCCCGATCTCTGGGAACAAGAAGAAAGTCAAGCACCAGAACAAGTTCAAATTGCACAGCTGGGAGATTCTCTTCTTAGAGAGTCCCTGGTGGACAAGTATCTTCCTTTTCTCTTCATATGTATTCTTTTCCTTTCCCCAAAATGCTTAATTGACTTTTATTAATCTGCTACTCCCATGATACATAGAATTCCTTCTCCCTTCTTTCCCCAAGGCTACATTTTGGATTCATTTATTCCTCATGCCTTGGTGTACTGATCCAAAGCTTCCTGAGAATATTCATATTAGACAATGAATATTCTCTTATATTCTCTTCTATAAGAGTCTAGTAAGTTCTACCTAACAGTATTTTAAATATATGGTGCAGGAGTGGCAAACCTCCAGCCTACAGATTAAATCTGGCCCACTAGCCTGTCCTCCCCACATCCACCGACAAGGCCTCCATAGAGGTTTCTCACTAAAGCCTCTTAGAGAAGGAAATGGGGCAGTAGAGCAACTCCCAACTTAAACAGAGATCCTCCCAGAAGCAGCTTCATCAGCTTCACTTGCCCTGCACCCTTCCTGCTGAAGAAAGACAAGAGTGAGAGAAGCCAGCTCAGGACATGTGCATGAATGGGAGGAGGGTACGCACACATGTGTGAATGGGATGTTGGCAAGGGGCAGCACAGCAACAGTGGGGACTAACACATCACCTTCCTCTGGGCAGGTGGCCCCTGATGTGCCTGCTCAGAACTAATTCCGCCCTCTGGCTGAAAAGATCCCCCACCCCTGAGATCTAGGGGAAACAGTGATGTCATGAGCCAATTCTTCATTTCACTGCATTTACCTGCACGGCAGATGTATATTTCTCCCGCTTCTCCTCTAGTGTAGCACTGCATGCTGGGAGCCTCATGCTGGCACTAGAGAAGCAGAGGCAAGTAAGAGAGAATGTGAAAATTTGGTGGCAACAAGTGATCTCGAGAGCATCATTGGGTTCTCATTAGAATTGCACGAGAACCTAAAGATGAAATGAAAGTTCATACTAATTTGATATTCCAGAATACCAATTCTTGAACATTTTCACATTTTGCTTTTGAAATTTCAGACTGAGAGAAATGTAATGTTTTAAAAGGGTGTGCAAACCACTTAAAATTGTATTATATAATGCATTATATAAGAACCATAAATAAAAAATAAATATTATATTTAAGGCAGTCATGTACCAAGCCTCTCATTTTATACCTTTTATCCTTCTTTGGGAATATCTATAACTGGAAATATTGGGAAAACACAATTTTTAAGTTAATTTTTTTGCAAGTAAATTGAAAGTAAAGGAAATTTAATATTTCCACCTTCCCTCTGTTGAATCTCTGGTCTAGTCATGGCTCAGGTCATTGCTCTGTGTAATTCCATTTGTAAAGATTTTCACAGAATAAGCCTAGGATCTCTAGAGAGCCCTTGGATTTTTCAGATTCCAAGATCCAGAGTCAAACAGGAGCTCTGACCTCAGAGCTGGGGTCTGCTACCACTGCTGCCACAGTTGGTGCAGAAAAAAAAACAACACTGGCAGCTTCTCTGAGGTCGTAAGAGTGCTCTTAGAAGAATGGTAATGGAAGTGTGAAGGTTTCCTGGAATTCCCATTGGACTGCACCCCCACCTGCTTAGCACTTTGAAATACCATGAATGAGTTACCCAGACATGTTTCCCACCCAAACATTTCAAATTCTGTTTCAGGTAATAAGTTTCAGCTTCTCCCATATGAGCCTGCCAGGTTCTGAAGAGCTTTAGGAAAAGCCCTTCTTCTGAGACCACTAACTTCAGGGGCATGTGTGATGGTGACCAGAGGGGTTTTTGGGGGGCCTTCCCAGGCTACCAAACTCCCTCCCGAGGGAGGTTAGGTTGGTGCTCGCTCCCGCTCTCTCTTTCTCTCTGTGCTGTCTTTCCGTCAGCAGGCAAAGACCACTTCATTCAAGACATCCTTCAACTGTAAGTGGGTTCTGTTGGGCTAGATGCTATCTCTTCCTCCTCCTGTATTGTTATGCATATATTCTGTTCCAGTGCATTGTTTTAATCAATTTTAATTCTGTTTGTAAGCCACCCTGAATAAAATTTTTGGTTGAAAGGCAGGTTACAACGCACATCAAACAAACACACAAACAAATAGTCTAATGGTTCATTCACACAACCTTCAGGGTAGATCATAGTTGCTTGCATTTCACTGATGGAAATCTGAGAGAAAAATATGGGTACAATCCTGTGATAATTGTTCATTTTAGCCCTCTTGGCCAAGCCATCTCCATTCCAAAACTCTGATTGGATTTTGAGTAATCAGTTTTCCCAGAAATCCTTCATCACAATTTCATGCCAACACATTGTTTTCATGTTATTGGCAGATTATCAATAATCAGTTTGAACTGATAAAAGGTCTGTGTGTGTGTGTGGCTGGCCCGGGGGTGGGGGGGGGGCAGGGAATCTCTACAGTATATTGTAGAAACAGAAAACAATTACTGTTGCCATTTCTTCCTTCCATTTTTGAGCACCCAGCACAAGAGACTCTAGATAACTTAAATATTTGCATACTGAATTTTAAACACTTGTGAACCAAATCACCAACCATGTTTGCTTTGTGTTTCTTGTTCTGTACCACTAGAGAGAGACAAAGACTATGTTTGCGTTACAGCTTACAATAGATTCTGCCTCCAGTGGCTAATGGGAGAATTGTAGCTTTTAAAATAGAACTACCTGCACCTAAACACATTTACAAAATAGAAACAAGCTCCACTCATCCAAGAGCCACTGCAACACATCTTTGAGATATGAGTATGTTTTTACTTCTTCCTACAAGCAAAATCAAGATTCACTTTATTGCCAATCCAGTGGGTTACCACAGGTCACTGTTATTGCTCCATTTTATCGTATGAGACTTGTGCAGATACAGGAGGGAAACTGGCCTGCTTCAGGTCAAGTGAGATCCCTTTCTAGAGAAAAGGGGGAGAGCCATACTTACAGCCTTTTCCCATCCCTTCCCACCCCTACACCGAAATCCAACAATCTTCCTAATATATTGGAAATATTCATAACAAAGAAAAGTAACCAAATTTCATGAGTGCTAAGTGTCCTGAGCAAACAAACAAAAAGAAATAACAAAAAGAATGGTTAATATCCATTTACCTTCTATGTAATTTATCTTCTTCTTTATCTTTCCTAGGGACGACCTAGAAACAGAAGAGAAGTGCAGCCCTGAGTCAGAAGGGAAGCATTAATATCAGGCTGAGCCCTGGCAAAAGGACACTTTCCAATGTGGAGCTTTAAGGCTGGGAATGATCAAGCAGCCAAATGACTCAGAGCACTTGGCAAACTCTGATCTGCCCCCTGGGTTCCCAGAAATGTTGATAAGCTAATGGGGAGCCGCACAGTCCTACGCATCATGAGACTGAAAATGCCCTGTAACGCCCAGCATTCCCTAGCCAGCTTTGCTTTCCTAATCTGGCCCTTGGACCAAAGGTTGTCTTCCAGCACCTCTAACAGTTGTGCAGAAAAGTGAATTTCATGAGGTGCTGCTTGTCATGCAAATGGCACAAAGAGGAATCCCTTTGTTGTTTCCCATTGCAGGCAGCATAGGGATCCATCTCCCGCCAAGGAGTGGGCAGTGCTCGAGGAGGGTAGGGGGAGTGGCCCTCAGCCTGCTCAAGTCTCAGCAGGCCAGTCTGGGGGCAGCAATGGCTGCATTAGGCTCACAGGCTGAAGGGCACCTTCCCATGTTTCACAGCATCGCTGCATCAGTTAATTATAAAAGTGTACGTGTGCATTCTGTACAAATCCTTAATTTTGCCTAACAAACCATTTGCAAGCTGGATCCTAAAACTTCAATGGGCACTGTGTGCATGCAGTTTCAAGCATATACATGTAGAAATAAAAAACATGAACTTATTTTCTAAAGAATTACTGACTCATTTGATATTTTTGTTTAGACTAATACTGTAGCACCAAAAGGAACATATGTGTTGAATAAAAGGACCTAAAATAAATGAAAGGATCTAACTGATAAAAGCTCTTGCTTCATCTTTAATCCATACCAACAGTGGGACTCTAAAGTATCCTACAGACCAAATGCCAGCTTATTTACTTACTCACTTTGATATGATGGCTTCATAGGTAATTCTATGATCAGCTACATGTCCCTTTTTACAACAGCTAGTAATATCAACTGCAGCATGAAATTTGGCAACATCCCCACAGAAAAACAGTTGCAATCCCCAAGCCTAAGTGCTGAAACTGAGAATGTTGATTCCAGAAATACCAGACCTTCAAAAGAACCAGTATTATTTTGGTCTTTCACAGAGGGCAGGTGGGCAGGATACAAGGAAATCCACTGAGAATGAATTTTAAGAAGAAGATCAGGTCTGAAATTCAGTATTCATCTGAAAGGGACTCTGCCACTGTGTTTGAATAGGCTCAGTTGCTCCAAATTGACACTGAGTTGTTGGTGTGCAAGTTGAGCCTGCTCGTGACTTCTATCTCTAAGTATGTACATCTAAGATTTCTTTTCTCTAAGTCCTCATATTTAAAAAGAAATCACTACAGAAATCTGCACATACCAGAGCTATGTACTTTCCAACTTCAGATTTGTGCAAATATTGCCAAGTGCAATATTTCCACAAATTGTTTACCAATTTGAACAAATGGGGCTAATTAGTGCAAATTATGAAATTTGGACTAATCTCCTTAGTGTTCTTGGTTTAAATGCACAAACCATGACCTGTCTGAGAGATGTCCACCAAAAAAGCCCAAGTCAGGAAGTTCATCAAGCTGAAACAAGCCAAACTTCCCAGCATCAGTACGTCCCTACTTTAAAATAGTCTGTCCTTTTCAAGTGAGGGATCTTTTGCTACCTTGGTAATGAATGCTTACCCGGAATGAGATTGTCCTTGGGCTGGCCCGTTTCAATGAGCTCCCATAGGTAATCACAGGGTGGGAGATTTGTAGGGGACTTGCAGATCCATCTCGGGGAGAGGAAGTGCTTCTTTCTGTCGCCTAGAAGACAAATGTGAATCAAGAAATAATAGGAAGGCGGACTGAGATAAGTATCATAGGCTGACCCAATAATGTAAGATTTACTTTTTTTTTAATGGAGTGAAGAGTCCCTTATGCCAAGCTACAAACCTATGCAAATTTACCTGGGAGGATATTCCACTGAGTTCAGTAGCACATCTGAAAACACATGTGTGGGATTGCATTGCGCATCTGACAGACCTTGTCTGATTGTGTCTTCAATTTCTGAGTAAAAGTGTGAGGTTTTGAGCATTCCTCATTATTTAACTCTTCCAAGCATGCAGTAAATGCCTGCCTAATACATCAGTTGGCAGCCTGGGTGTGGAAAGTCATTTCTAGTTAGGCTCACGTGACATTTTCTTTATGGTCAACTCGGCTGAAGTCAAATTGACTTTTTACTTCTCGTAGGCCTTACAAATGCCTTCATTCTTAATATTCTGAACCACCCTGTGGGCTGTATATTTGTTGGCTATTGGCTTTTGTCTCCAAGGAAATACTTCTGCCACAATTATTTGAAAATATTGCATTTTAAATTGCATTTTAAGCAGAGAACAATGCTATTAGTTGGTTTATAGAAATAAAATAAAGAAATAAAATAAAGAAGTTGGATGAGCGCCATTTGGTGTTTGACTGGACTAATCCTTTTTCTGCACCCCATACTCTGCCAGTGTCCCTTGGGTCCTCTTTGAGCTCCCCAACCAGTCCTCACTGTATCCAGCTCCAATTTCAATTGCTGAGTGAAACTGTCTACTCTGAAGACAGAAATGAGCCGTGACTCCATCTTTTCAGCTCACTTCACCAATAATTTGTGATACACAAGTTTAAACACATATCTCATACACATATGAGAGACACATCTCATATGCGTATGATACACATATCTCATCTCATCTCATCTCATCTCCCCACTAAAAACACAACTGAGTACCTGTGGCACAGAGGAAGATGTAGCTGCAGCAGCTTCTGAGAAGTTCTTTACTCGTGACTGAATCTTCACCTCAAGCCGACTGATACTCTTCCGTTTCTCTGGTGTTTGTGTGGCCACCTCATCCTGGACTGCAGCAAGTCTCTGAGATTCATGTGTATTTGGAGCCTTCTGCTCATCACTAAAGACCTCATCTGTGCTCTTCTCTTCCTTATTCAAGTTTTCATGTTTCTTCACTGTTGTCGTCTCCCTTTCCTGACCCAGACTTAGATGCTTTCCTTCTGCACGGCCTTTTTGCTGAACCTGAACTTCACATTTTCCCACTCCTGGATTCTTCTGTTCTTGGGGAAGTTCTGAAGATGACTTTACTTTCTCTCCAACAGTTTCCTTTTCCAACTTCCTAGCACCCAATGTCTTCTTTGTATCTTGTTTTGCATTATTTAAAATTGCCACTTGCCTTTTCACCTTTTGGTCTTCTTGCTTATTTAGTATGTCTTCCAGTGTCCTCTCATTTTCCAGTTTTGAGCTCTCTAGCTTTGATGGTTTGGCGTCAGAGGAACTGGAGAGCCTATAACGGAAGAAATGTGAAACTTTCAAAACTCTAGAAGTGACACTGGGGGCACTAAAGTGTTAGGCTTTATGTATGCTTTTCCAAATGTGTTATCCTGGTTCAGAGCAACTTATACATGGGGTGGGCAGCTTCCATAAGTCCTAGTCAGCACAGTCAATGATGAGGGAACTCGGGAAATCTTAACCAAAGTTTGTGGAGGCCACAACTTGCTCACCCCTGTTTATAGAGTTGGAAATTCCAAACCAGGTTACGGCTAATCTCACATTCACTTGTCCGTCCGTCTGTCCGTCCGTCCATGCATCCATCCATCCATCTATCTATCTATCTATTTATTGGATTTTGGCCCATCCTATTAGCCACAGGGCTCCTGGGCAATTTACAAACAATAAAACCATATTAAAAACTATACACAACATTCAAAACACAATATTAAACACTTAATCAAATAATAATAAAGGTGTTCCTTTGTCACACCTTAACAGAACCTACATTTACATAAAGGACATAACCACACTCTATATTAAAATATGCCACCATTAAAACCAAACCAACAATTATGATACTAGCAAAATAAAAAGATCTTTGCATGGTACCAAAGGGAATATAAAGAAGGCACCAGGCACACCTCTCTGAGGAGCTCATTCCACAATTGGGGTGCCACTCCGGAAAAGGACCTTCTTCTTGTAGTCACCCTCCTCAATTCCTGAGGAGGCAGCTCCTTCAGAAGGGCCTTGAATGCTAATCTAAAGGGCTGAGTAGGTTCATATGGGAAGAGGAGCCCCTTTAGATACCCTGGCCACAAGCCACGCAGGCCTTTAAACACTCATGTTATCACCTTGAATTGGTTCTGAAGCTTAACTGGTAACCAGTGGAGGTGATAGCAGACTCCCTTTATAGGATTATATCTGCCAATCCTCATCAGCAGCCTAGCTGCCCTGTTCTGGACCAACTGAAGTTTCTGGACCGTCTTCAAGAGAAGCCCCATGTAAAGCACATTGAATCAATCCAGGCTAGAAGTTACCAGTGCATGAGTTGTCCAGTCCTATCTGTCCAAATAGGGCCACCACTGATATATCAGCCTTAGCTGATGGAAGGTGCTCCTAGCCACCGAATCCACCTGGAATTACAGTGACAACTTGGGGTCCAGGAGCACCCCCAAACTATGAACCCTGTCCTTTAGAGGGATTGCAACTCCATTCAGGACAGGAAATATGTTGCCCATCTGAACAGATGATCCTCCCCACCAACAGTATCTCCATCTTGTCTGGATTAGGTTTCAGTTTACTGGCCCTCATCCAACCCATTATTGAGGCCAGACATGTCCTTAAGAAAAGTAATTGCACGGGTTGAGTGAGTCAGGCCCAAATGCCCTGGTTTGCTTTGGAAATTTCAGCCAGAGACCTTTACATTCCAATTAGAAATGGATGACCATTCAGATACTTCCTCTGGTTTGGGATAGATGACAGCCAGAAACAGCTTCAGTTTGCATAGCCATGCCCAATCTTATGCACACTGAGTAACACAACCCACATACCTATTTGCTACTTGACTAGTTGCATTCTGTGCAGCACAGGAAGCTTCCTCCTTTGCTTCCGAGGCAGAACTTAGCTGTCTATCTCTTCTCCTGCGCTCTCTCTTCTGTTCTTCCTCATCCTCAACACTCCACTCTCTTGCCAGGCTGGAAGGGAAAGCATGCAAGAAAGACAAGTCATTTTTACTCAGAATCTTGCTCAGAGATAAAGAAGACTATAAGTGCAGAATTCTTTTGTTACACTGTGGTGGGCAGCGAGATTCTGAACCTGCCTGATGTGGGCAGCATCTTCTGCAGATTGTACAAGCATTTGAGGTTAAGATAGGTGGGAGCCCAAGATTCAGTGGGAGCGACCCACCTTTGAAATCAGCACCAATATCAGAATCTATTCCCTGATATATGATAGATTTTTAATGCATCAGTTAAATTGTTTTGGTTCTTTTGTGGATAATTTTTAATGCTATGTTAAATGTTGTATGTTCCGTTGCACTCAGTCTTGTTGTTGATGATGAGAAAGAGGCCCACAAAATTGTTGTTATATCATTTTAAAATATGTTAAAAGCCTTGGGGTGAAAATAGGAGCAATACAAATACAGAAGGGTGCCCCTAATTTTCTCTGCAATATGTTGGAATGTATCTTATTGTAGCCAATAAATATGTTTAAAACACTTCAATCCTATTCCAGTCTGGTTTAAGAATTTCACATAGAGCACTCTCCTATCTAAAAATTATGCACTTTTCATCTACCACATGTATTTTCTACATTCTCGGGTGCCGCACTTACATGAATAATGCATATCTGAATCTGCTCTGAGGACCTGCATTTGGATTGTGAGAATCTTACAAAACCAGTTGAGGGAGCAACTGCCACAAAAGAACCACGTAGGGATGAATTAGCACTGCCCACCTAATGTTGCTCCTTAGTTTATGCATCAGCATCTTACCCTGAATACCTGCCACCCCTTCTGGACAACCTGACCATAGTGCATGCCTTACTCAAGGCAACCAGTCCAGATCCTAGTCTTATATGTCTCCCTATCTTACAGTTTTCTGGATGTGGAGGAGTCACTGTCCCTCATACTACAGGTGTGCTTCTGTGAAAATTTCCTGCTCTGCTTGTATGCACATTTGCCCATAAGCAGTTGTGTGGGAGGCTAGCCCTAAGGAATTAATCATATGCAGCACAGCATTTCTCAGAGCAATATTGCACCTCCTATAATCTGCAACACCTGTGAGCACAGCCCCACTCTCTAGACAGCACCAGAGACGCAGAGAGATTAAAAGAGGCCATGCCAGGGCACCATTCACCTCAAGCAAAACTGAAATCCATGAAATGTTCCAAGAGAAGAAAGCATCTCAGACAGCAATGTGTTATCGGTAGCTACATGGCCCTGGTTGAAGCTCCTGTGACCGAATGTCAGCTCTAGACGGTGGCATGGAGGTGCCCAGCTTTCTGGCACTCATGGAAGTTGCCACTCAAGTGTGTAGCTATTCCATGGTGCTGGTTAATCATTACCACAGCAGGGATTCCATCGCATTTTTATTTCCAATATCAAGTTAAGCCTTGTTGTTTTCCACTCTGAGGGAGGGTTATGCAAAGGGGGGTGGGTGGGGAGAGTGCACATAACAAAAGATTGGAGGGAAGAGAGAGAAAAAGTGAAGATACAGCAGCTTTTGGCATTTAATTTTTAAACCGTATTGGAGCAGGGGATAACCTGCCCTTAGCAGTGAATCCAGAAACAGAACTAACCTGCTTGGGCCATTCATGACCCACAGGCTCTTCCCTTTGGTTGTTTTTAGATCACAACAAGACAGTGCCCACCTCTTCTACAATGACCTGATCTTTAAAAAGTTAAAAAGCAAAAAGACACACGGAATTGTTGCCATGCCTGTGACATCATGACTTGACCACAGGAATTAGTGCTTTGGATCCAGAGTACTAGTATTTGCTCCAGCCATCTTCAGCCATCATTTAGCCCATATTTAAAAGCCCCACCAGAGAGCTGTGTGGAATAAACCTGTTATATTCCCAACACCTGTGTGATATCTGAATGAGTAATCGGAGTGCAAAAGAAAACTAGTATTAGCACATGGTTAACCTACGGGATTCTCCACCACAAGATGTAAGGCTGGTTGCCAACTTGGAAGGCTTTGAATGGGATTAGGCAAATTCAAGGAGGATAAGGATACTTGCTGTGGTGGTTGTATATGACTTCCATATCAGATAGATTGTGCCTTTTTGTGCCAGTAACTGTGGCATACAATTGCTAATGTATTTTGTTTATTACATTGGTAAACAGTCCAGCAGCTGAAGCTCTCTGCATGATTCACAAGATTAAAATCTTTAAAATACTTTCTAATGCAAACAAATAAATAGACAATGCACAGCAGTCCACACATATCTAGAACTGAAGCCATGACTAAAGGCCTTATCATTTGCTGGCCAGAGAATGCCAGAGAAAAAGAAGTCTTAATCTGCCACCAAAATCATATCAATGCCACTGAAATCATATCAATGCTGGTTCCAGCTGAGGCCCATCAAAGAAATTGTTCCATAATTGAGGGAAGACACCACTGAGAAGTCCCAAATGAAAGTGCTCATGCTGCAAGTGAAAGAAGAAAATGTGAAAACAGGACTGCAGCTGAACATAAGTAAGTAAAAATCACGACTACAGAAGAACTACAGAACTTTATTGTCAACAATGAAAAAATCAAAATGGTGAAATTTTATATACCTTGGCTCAGTCATCCATCCAAAAGGAGGCTGCAGCCAAGAAATTAGAAGACTCAGATGTGGAAGGGCAGTAATGAAGGAACTAGAAAAGATAATATTTCACCGGAGACCAAGGCCAAGACCATTGAGACCACTGTATTCCTAGTTACTACATATGGCTGCAATAGCTGGATAGTGAAGAAAACTGACAGAAGGAAAATTAATACATTCAAAATATGGTGCTGGAGGAGCACTTTGTGAATACCCTGGGCTGACAGAAAGTGGAACAAATGTTCATCAAGCCAGAGCTTTCCCTAGAAGCAAAAATGACAAAACAGAGGCTGTCATATTTTGGACACATCATGAGAAGGAAAGGCTCACTGCAGGAGACAACCATGTTAGGGAAAGTTAAAGGCAGAAGATGAAAGGGAAGACCAAATAAGAGAAGGATTGACTCCACATAAGCAGCCACAGTCTTGAATTAGTCACAGACAGGGCTTTTATTGATAGGGTCATCACAAGTCAAAGGTAACTTGATGACACATAACTACAACCACTGAGAATACTTATTCCCTTGTTGCCACTTTCTGAGCCGATCTTGAAGGACACGTAGAGGAAGGTCTTAGATGACGAACATACTGTATGGGTAGGTTCATGCCAGAAGAGGTGCTTCAAAAGGTACTCATGCCCTGCTGTGGGCTTCCCATTGGGATCCACTTGGCCACGGTGAGAAGAAAAATTCTGGACTAGGCAGTCTTTGGTCTGATCCAGCAGGGTCTTATGCTCTTATCATATATATTCGGTTTAATTATAATGCTAGTCTGCAGCAAATTTAATGAGACAGGTTTTTTAAAACTGATATATGCTTACTCTGTTAACTATTTCTGCGAAGCCATATCCATAGCACTGACAAGCATGTTATCATTAAAGAACTGGTGGCATGGTTCTTGTCCTTGGCAGTTTGATTTTTTTCTTTAAGATAAAAGTTTTTCTTTCAAAATTACGTTGTATTAACCTCCTTACACTGAACCTACTCCTAAAAGGCTGATCAGCACACTTGTATGCAAAATGCATTTAGGCATGAGTGCACATCTCCAGGGCTGAATATTCCTATCACTGTGCCTAGTAAGTCACAGAAAGTAAGCCTGATTCCATCCTACCCTCCAAGGTCAATCACAGAGATACCTCCTGCCTGGTGCTGTAGAACACTATGATAGTCAGCCACTACACTGATCCTAAATGCTTTAGGTAAAATCCTACGCATGATTAGACAGAAAGCAGTCCAGAACTTTCAGCATACCCCAGCTGCTGGACCTTTTTCTGTATGAACATGCATAAGATTATGTGCTTAGGTACTTTCCAACCACAGCTTTAAAAAAATGTGTCCATGTGATCTGTTGAAAAGGAGGCTGGATGGAACTGCACCTTCATTCAAAGTCCATCGCATGCCCAGGTTCACTGAAGTATGTTACGTCAAGGGCAAATCATGTCAGTGCCAATGAAAGCTTCCCTCCTGGAGGGAATGCAGCTTCAATGTGGTGGTGAAGGAAGGTTTCAGGACATGTTGCTGCCTGAAGTAAAGACTCTGACCCTGCCCTCCCACTGGCACATCCCATGGACTGGTAGATGAATCTGTCTTCAATAGCGGTGATGAGAGGGCATCTTCCACTGCATATTAAGTAGGCTGGCTAAGTTAGGGTGCCCAGGACAGGCAGGGAGCATGCAGATCTTCCAGCACTTTGCCAGTCTGTAGTTCTACAAGAGATATGCTTTGAGAATAAACACAACACAAAGGGAATGATAAAAAAATAGCGGATTTACTAATCTTGAATACATCTTCATTTGTGGACCAGACTGGGTACAGCAGCAGACCATAATAGGTCCACAAGCCAGATGACCAACAGTCTCGTCCTAAACAATGCATTGCTTTGACTAGAATGCATTTCAGATCTGTATTTATCTACATGGTTCCTAAACTTGTCCTTAGATTTAGATCAGTGCATCTTGAACCAGCTGGCTTTCTTCCTTGCAGCATGGGTTCGAGAGTTTAATGGACATCAAACAGAGATGATCTTGCCTCACTGTGGTACAGCTAGGTAAACTCTGACCATGGACTTAATAGTCTTAAGGCCCTTTAGATGGCCCTGTTCATTATTGAAGTTCTGAAGCCTTAAGCTGTCATTCTTTTTCTCCCTCTCCGACTATTCCATGCTTTACTGCTGTTTTTACATTCCTGCAATCTCAAGCAACACCGTGTCTGCCAACAACATGACTGCGAGAATTAAGAAGAACCTCCTCCTGCTGCTTCTGTTGCTGCTGCTGTGATACCTCATCCCCTGCCATTTTTGGATAGTCTGTTGGACACCTTGCAAAATCAAGGTATGAAGAATGCAAAAAGGAAGAGTTTCCTTTGCTGCTCAGCAATTCATGGAATGGGTGAATTCCTTTGAGAACAATCTTTTGTAGCTTCATGTTGCATAAATTCTGAAAATTAATTGAGCATTTTTGGAACAATTGATTCTTAGTGGGGGATTATAAAAGTAGCAGGAATTCATTGCATTAGATTTTCCTCCTATATTTATAAAGCAGTTATGCACCTCACAGGTATTTCTTCTCTACTTCCTTAGCCATTTCCTTTCCAGCTTATTAGCACATCTGCTGCAGAAGAGGGAGTGTTCAGGCTCAGAAATTAGAAAATGAACTTGGTTGATCTTATCTCAACCACAGTCTTCTAGCCAAATCTAAGGCTATTTGTGCTATGAATAAATAAATGGAAGCTATCTGCATAAAATCTAATTAAAATCTGGGTTTCAAATGGGGTGGAGAAGCATTCTGTACATAAAATGAACATCATTGTTGTTGCCATCACCCCTGCTCTAGCAGAACCCCACTGAAACAGGAAGTCTTATTCTGCTTCCTTCTAGCTTGTCTGGAGTCACCTAGAACATTCTCTGCTGAGAAGTTGTAGTTGTGTAACTTAATCCATGGACAGTGACCAGCACTTCCTGTGCAGACTCTCACGGTGCCATGGAATCTTCAGTATATTCCTGCCAACAACTGGACAAAACCTATTATTTGAACATTTGTAGGATCTCAGTTCAATCAAAAAGCAGGATTCCTGACTGTAGACACCAAATTGGCTCTGTTCAGATCTTCAGATAAAGATGTATGTTGGCTTGTATTCGGTCTTAGGTCTGCTTTATTGTTAATTCTACTTGAGTAGGCTCAATGAAGTGAGTTGGCCTTAGAGTACAATAAGAATGGACATAATCTCAATTCCATATCAGAATTCATGGACCATCTGGAAATGTTTTGCTGTTGTTTCCAAGAGTTCTTTTTTTAATGTCAGGATGATATTGAACAGAAAGATGGATCGTGAGACTGGTGGGTGGACCTAGATAAAGAGCAACCCCAAGTCTGTGTTAAGCATTTTTCTTATGCACAAAAGTGCTCATTAATAATCCAGAACATAATCAGTCTGATGTAACCATCACTGGAAATGGATGGGCAGGGAACCAACAACTTGCTGTTCTAATTTAAGTAATTGGAATGAACTTGCAAGAACTGAAGGGCTTTCCTGCTGAAAAAGAATGGTTTTAGCCTATTGTCAAAACAAGATTCCACAAGTAAGCAAGATGCAACAGGAAAACAGGCATCTGTTAACAAGAGCAGGGCTTGGTCTTTCAAAACATCTCATCTCTTTTCTGTTTTGAATCAGGCAGTACAACACTCCTTCTTTTATTTAGCATAAATGTAAAAAGAAGGAAGCAGTCCACTCTGGTCAATGGACAACAGAATGATAGAGGTGCTTCTTATATATTACAGCAGTGATTTGGGAGCCTGCTTTCTGTGACTTCATCACAGAATGAGCATTTTATCCAGGAGAAGTTAAATTCTTTCAGGATTTGAGATTTCTTGCATGTGAATTCTGCATTCTTTCTCATACTGCCTGTGTCTTAACTGTTTTAAGGTCACTGGACTGGGTCCAGAATAGCACTTAGTAGAGTACCTTTCTCCACAAAGGAAGGGGGCAGCCAGGTGATCTCTAGGAGTCCTCCTTCCATGAAGGTTCTCTCTGCTCCTGAAAAGCCATTTCAATCCAAAAGACCTTCTGAAGTGGTATGATAAGCAGTGCAGGAGGTTGCAGGGTGAATACACAAATATCACCTCCAGGGAAAACTTCCATTGGATTCCATTCATGGAATGGCCAACCTGTTCAAAAACAGCCATGACCTACTAAAACCATGGTCACTTTTGTGTTTGAAGTTCCATTGTTCTCCATTTGTGAGCAGGGCAGTGTTTACCAGAACCACTGCATGCAATTATCCATTCATTTTACAGAAGCACAACCTTGGATAGTTGCAAGGACATCTATTGAGCTAGGTCATCTGCTCATCTTAAACACCAGTCCACTTGCCTATATGATTGCATAGTCCTTCTCATCTATCAATTCTTTCAGTGGGGACTGTGAGCTCTTTCCTCCCCCTTGTTTTTGTTATATTTTGTTTAACACAAAACAATTCAGTAAAAGTATAAATGAATATTCCTTGGGTATTGCCTCAGAAAACTGGAAGATGTTATTAATATGCCACAATCGTCCCCTGGGGTTGTCAGTATCTGCTCACTATGGCACTGTATCTGGGGATCTAGTTTATCCCACATCTATTGCTGTATGTGATATGCAGATAACAGACACTCCCTAATTATATAATTACCACCACCACCACATTACATTTGTGCCCTGCCCATTTCCGCTTGCAAGCAACCCAAGGCAGCTTACCTGATCCTCCTCTTCCCCATTTTATCTTCACAATAACCCTGTAATGTAGGTTAGCCTGAGAGTCAGTGACTGGCTCAAAGACACCTAGTGAGTGTCATGGCCAGGTGTGGACATAACCCAGATTTCTTGAGGCCCAGTCCAATATTCTAATCACTGCACACACTGGCTGTTGATATGTGGAATCTCTAGATGATGTTGCTGGCCTAGTCCATATCTCAACTGAAATTCCACATTACATCACTCCTTGGCATTTTGGCAGCCACAAAGAACAACAAGAAGGTGTGGAACTCCATGGAACCTGATATTCTCGGACAGATAGATAAGTAGATAAACACCTTAATATTGCCTCATCAGTCATGACTCCTAATGTGGGTTGTAAGTCATAAAACAGGTGTCATATGTGAGGAGCAAGAAAAGATGAATAACAGCAAAGGGACAGATGCTCTTACTTCCTCCACACTAAAGTAGAAATTTTAATTCAACCACCCTCCAATTCACTTCCTCATGCTTTCATGCCTAGAAACACCTGTAAGTATCTACAACAGATATGGGCCTTCTAGTTCTTTCTAACCTCAGCCAAAATGATTAATGATCAGAGATGGTGGGAGCTGTAGTCCCACAACATTTGAAGGACCACATTCTTGGTCTCAAGGAAAATATACTCAAAACAGAAATTAAAATGATCATATCTTAATTTCTTCAGGCACAATATATCAAAATTTAAACACCCAACCATTTAATAAATACCTAACCATGAATAGATTATGCCATTTCTTGTTAACTATATTATTATTACTGAACTGGTTGACATTTTGGTGACATAACTGAATTTTAGTCTGTGGTTATGGCCCTGATTCCCATTAACCCAATCTTTCAGTTGTTTTAATGGCACAGAATAGTAGACGAGTTGGAAGGGGCCTAAATGCCATTGAGTCTGCCCTGCTCTACTTTTGACATGTGCTCAGCAGTCCAGCTGCAGGGTCATGCCTTTCCAGCTTAGCAAAGAAGATGAAATATGTTAGCTCAATTTATAGCTATACATGCATGATAATTCTATCAGTCTTCTAAAGAGCTTTCCATGATGTAAATGTATTCACAGAAGCTCAAAAACCACACACAATGGGAAAAGGCACAAACCCAGAGGAAATTTTCCACTTAAATCTCACATTAAAAATTTCATGCTTGCTCCAATATCATACATTTTTGGCCTTAATCAACCAAACTGGGAACCCACATCCCTTATGACCACTGAGGAATTCCCAGTCCATTGTTTTCAATTTCTGATGGGATGGTGATAATCGCCTATGATTGGCCACATGCAATTCTTTTACATGCTTTGTGCCAAAACCACTACAAATTACACTTGACCGTCAGTGATGCAGTGGTAACTTTGAAGTGCGTGAAAGTTTCCAAGCTGCACCTCAAGGAGAGTCCATAATTTCAGGGAACTGGGTTGAACCAGATCAACGAACCAGGTTTTGGTGTTTGCATTTACCAGAAGCACTTTTAGGTAAACTGAATGGGTTTTAATTATCCATTCAAGACCAGATCACTTCCAAAAGACTTTGCATTGCAACAGGGATAAGGATCACCACAACATATTGCAGCTACAGAAAAGGACTGCAGCTGACTTCAGAGGAAACAAGGAATTCTGAGGGAAATGGGATATTCTGAGGGATACTGTGACCATCAGGATGATGGTGGTGATGGTGCAAACTTGTGAGTCCCCTCGTCTACAACAATGTTAACTTCTCACCCTTTAAACAAGAAACCACCATGTACTAGGCCAAAGAAATGACATACAAAAACACAAGAACAGTTTCTTAGGATGCTGGCCATTTATCTCCACCTTGACCTAATCGGCACCCTTTTTTCCATGTACGAAGCCAGAGCCAGTCATTGTTTATTCACTCTCCATATCATTCACTGAATTAAATTGATTATTAATAGCCAGCTTGGTTGCTTCTCTTCTTCCACCCCCCAGAATCTATGAGCCCCACTCTATGAAAGCAGCGAGCAACTTAAGGAGGCCCAGAGTTCATTGTCACCCCTCCAGACCCCACCTCCATGAGCATCAGCAAAGCAACAGCAGCAAACTGAAAACTGACATTTGTCCACCATTGATCAGCCAATGCAACGGAATGTGACAGTGGCGAAACTGAGTTTGTGAACAAATGAATTGGGTGATTATAGTGTTCTGTAGAGGCTTGCCACCCGGTTTTGGCAACGAAGTGGCTACTTTTGCCACCACCACTGCCAATTTCATCAGCAGTGGCAGTACCAGGAGTCCTGGGGGCTGTGGTGAGAACCACAGTGAGGCTCATTGTCTCTGTTGACCAACCCTGCTCTATAGCATGGAGTTGCTTTATGCCGTCCAGCATTCCCCATCAATCAGCTTTTTCTCCACTATTATGAAAGACACACCTTTCCTATGTGCACATTTCATACTCTCCAGGATATCAGTGCAAAACTGTTTCTTCTGTATTCACA